CTATTATTGGTAAACAGAGTGAGTTCGCGGCCTTCCACAGAGTGATAAGGGCGCCGTACAGCACAATACATGGTTAGGAGTTCCCTAGCAAAAGTGTTGTACCTTTATTCATTAAATTGCAACTTTCTCAAGAAGAATGCGTAAGGTTGACAGGTGTAGTTACTTTTGTGATCATTCCTCAAACTATAAACAGATAATGCTTTTTACGTGTTCTTGTCCAAATTGATTATTTTTGCACTGTCGTAAAGTTAACCTGTTGAGAGCATCATGGGAGACGCGCAGTTTGGCGCGAACCATCGATAAAATCTTAGCGGGTCGCCGAAGGTACGTATTTGCTTAGTTATGGTCTGCTCTGAGTAGTCCGGAACCACTAACACTTCGGTTTTCAGAGGGCAGATATCTTGAGCATCAATTGTGTTTCCGAGAAAATCCATGTAGTCTGATCCGACTTGACATTTTTGGATGTTCGCAATCTTTCAAATAAAGGTCCGAATGCTAGAAATGCAATTCTCTGTCAAATAGTCACCTGCATATGCATGTACGAAGTTGAAACCTACAAAGATGTCATCAACGAATCTCCGAAAAGTTTTGCAGCATTTTCAAAACGGACAGAGGAACTTCGTAAAGTCCGAAGGGAGAGATGATAATCTTTTGGTAGTATCGATAAAAACTATTGAAATTTGGTTTATGCTTTAATCCGAATAGTTTTCAGAAAAGTGTCACATCATTCAAGATGGCTGTCAAATCGTGATTCTGCGGCAGGGAGTAACGATCGGGGGAAATTTTCGCGCCAACAATGCTCGGAAACATAAATGTCTATTTTTCGTCAAAATCATTATAATTCCTTTATATTTTTATGATTTTGTAGAGTCATGTGTGGAATCCTATTTAGAGCATTTGCCTAGTTTTGCTTGCAGTAGGATTTCTCGACAGGAATTGAAACCGACTCAAGGTTGCAGACTTCAGTCAAAGAGGTTTTTGGGATAAAATATTAGCACCATTAACATTGATTAGTTGCATTGAGCTAGACAATAAAGAGAGGTAATTTGATAGAATATTCTGGCCGACAGACAAGGGTGGACTGAGGTAATTTCCACACCAACATGATTGCTGGTCAGTAAAACCAACCTCCTTCCTTTTGTGATGTAAGGTTATCTTACGTCAGTTCTATGTATGAATATATATAGCTATATATATGGCTATATGTCGCACATCTTGTTGGAATACGAGGAAATCAGACAGTTAAAGCAATTGTATTGTGGGTTAGATATCCATATAACATATAACACTATTATGAATTTGGCTAATCATATAAGTTATAATGTAATATATGTCTACGAGGGCAGGCATACACCATTTTTACAGGCACGATCTGTGTGTTCAACAATGGTTTGTTTATAGCACACTTCCCAAGTAGAATTGTAAAATAAATCAATTCAATAAAAATAAAAGACACTACATTCCGGATGTTTCAAGGAGTTAATGTTTTGGTATTGTACTGAGTTCTGTTTTTGTAGTATTTTTCGAAAGTGTGATCGCGTCCACTCAGGTTCAAACTCGCCATAATTATGTAGGAATTCTGTTCATGCTAGGTATTTATGCAATACAACTTTTTTAGGAGTTAACAGTTGTTGTAAAGTAAATCTAAAGCGCAACTAATATGTGCTGTGACCCTGCAAAATCGTCTGTTGAGTTTATCTCAGGCATCAGAAGCTCCATAGCCGTGCCCTGAGAATGTGATGCTGGAAAAAGAGTAAAAGACGGGGTTTCATGCCTGTATGTAACCCTCGTCCTGTTGATAGAAGAAACCAAACTAGTCATGAATAGTTGTCTATTTAGATCGTGGGACAGTACACAATGTTGCGAGAGATTACCTGTTCTAACGCAAAAAGCTTTTCAACATCCAAAATAAGATAATAGGAAATATAATGATTAGGCGAGATAAGGAAGTAAATGAATTCTTGAGCTCTTTTGTTCTGAGATATACCTATTTGTTTGACGTCAATTCTTAACTAATCAACGTAAGTTGTTAGAGAGGCACCGAAGCACTTGGATATAAACCCTAAACTATGCTTAGCAGTTTATTGGTTAGCGGACAAAGGTATTATAAATTGGCAGATGAAACTCATACTAGCTGTGTTGCTAGAGTGGAATGTGGTGAGAATCTTCAGATAATGGATCAAAGTAATAAAGGACAATGAGTTGAGTTGCGCTCATTTTTAGATAAATGTTATATTTCCCACGATGCTCTGTGTTTCACACTTCGTTGGAAAACATTATTTCCATTAATATCATTTTATAAGCTTATAAAATAGCTACAAATTTTAGACTGCTTTAAACAACTGTAGTATAAAGTGTAGGTTGCCAAACAAGGTATAAGCACTGGGAAGAGTGTTATGCAGGAAAAGTGTTAAAAGAAGTAGGCGGTAAAGTGCAGGGATATAATAATTATCGATAAGGTAGTGGGTGATTAAATTATACTGCTGGTATTTCAACACAGTATACATAATAGTTAAAAGCTGATGAAAAATGAACGAGAAGAATTTCACATTACCTGGTACCGATGGTCCTTTGTGCTGTCCTAACCGGTTGATGTTATAGGCCCTACAGATGCAAGATGGCTGGCAGTGAGGTCCTCTTTATGATTCTTTAGGGTAGTAGTGAATGTCCCTTAAGACCGACTATAGTTGAGCAGCACTGATAGGTCCGGTGAGTTACCGGCCTACTTCAAGCAAAAACTAAGAAGAGATGTATAGCACGGAAACATATCTAGTACCACTGCAAAGAAGAAACTTGAGGGAAACTAAACTAAGAGTCTGACATGGTAGAGAGCCTGCGATATCTGAGTACGGCGTAGATAAGTTCCCTTGTACTAGATCAGCGCAAGAGAGGGCTTCATCAAGAAGTCTGACAAACGTATGTAGTTCATCTTTCATGAGTATTTCAGAGGGAAGACTGTTACATATTGACGCATACTTGATCATGAAGTTTCCCCGATTCCTCGATCTGTATTTTTCAAATTCGACCGTAGATACTTTACCCCGAAATCGTATACATGTGAATGGGTTTTAGGCATTTTTGCGAGTGAAATCCCATTGCATTCCCTTCAACTTGAGTAAATTAGAGAAGCCATAACGACCGAACTGACAGTATTCGGTTTGAACGCAGAACTAAAGAACCGAAATTTGTTTGATTAGATCAGACTACGTTTTCCAAGCAGACAGTCAAAGGTTAACTATCACACACTGAACAAGACCTAGTAAAAAGCACGGCCTACTTGTCAATAGTCCGTGAACATGAATTAGACAAGTGAGGCAACAAAGGGTCAGTCTTTAGTGAAAGCCACATAACAAAAGCTCAGACGAGGAAGACTGAAGAATACAGTGTGGTCAAAGGAGATCTGAATAAATGTTACAACACACAACAGAGAGAAAAGACAAATAGATGACAGCACTGTCCAACAAAATGCTGTGTAGGTATTTCCAGCGTTTTTTCCGTTACATAAGCATTAGTTGGGAAAAAAGATAATGGTCAGACGATATGTGGTTTAGAGGTGATAAAGATAAATAGCTGATCAATAAATATGAAAAAACAGTTTAGTGCTCACATTTATGAATAAGAAAACATAATACACGAATACTAATCAGGAGTTTTTAAACCTGTAGAACATGAGCTACAAACAGCTCGCAATAATTCAGATTATTATGAGCTTCCACTCGAGAACAACTATATTTTCTCCATGAGTGTCTTCGCCAGCATGTTCTACCAAATAAGTTGTCCCTCGGTATGTGAACATCTTGTTATTATTACTTCTCCAAGATGCAAGAAGAATAACTGTAGGCGTCAAGTTCAAATCTCTTTACGAGTAACTTCAGGATTATGACTATCTGCTTCTAAATGAAAAGCAGAACATATGAAATTCACCTGTTTTATCATTCAAAATTTTCCATCTACACTAATTCAATGAAACAATGATTTACTCAAGTTAACACTTTTCAAGTACATAAACATTAAATTTCGTAGTCTGTCTAAACAAATGTCACCTAGGCACCTACTAAAAGTTGTATCGGTAAATGAGTCACTAAAATAGGTAGTTCCGTACGTCTTCGACACTGATCTCATTAGTCTTAATATTCACACCCCAGTTCAAGGAGCTCTGTTACGTATCCGCGCCAGATCACGAGTGGGTACACCGTTCTATGCATCCCTTGCAACTGCTAGTCAGCTTAAACCGAACGCTTCTCAAAATATTGATAGCTTACCAAAAGTATCCTCGATCCCCTTCATTTTTGACCAGACGGTACACTTCGATTATAAAGGTGATAGGTGTAAACGCGGCTTCAAACTACGAACACTTGTGGCAGATTTAATCAGCCTGACGTGATCTGGTACACCAATCAATAAGAAAAATATGTCACTTATTGCAACATCATATATCACTTTAATTTTTGCAATTGGAGATATTGTTTTTATATTTCCGCCCATTCGTATATCTTATCTTCACTATGACGGAACAGGCACCTTCCGCTTTTCAACTCATACCATTCTGACTCGATAATATAGAAACCTGGTTTTGCTACGCAGAAGCTGACTTCCAGGAGCACGACGTGACAGACACACATGCACAATTACTCGCAGTAGTGAAAGGACTACCTCATAATTTTAACAGGTACATCATACCTAGTGTGCTTACTTGTGATGTTTCGGAATCTTATGAAGAATGATGTTTTTAAACGTAGAGACCTAACTGATCAACAAAGGTTGGACCACATTTTCCACAACATCGAGGTGTAAAATGACTCAGCAATAGAAGCGTTGCTACATATGCGAGAGGTCATTGGTCAACAGACATTTAACGAAGGTCTGTGTAGACAGCTCTTGTTGTCTAAGCTTCTCTGAGTCTCCTCCACAAAATATCTAACATGACTGTACGAGAAAGACCATCCCTTACTTTATTATTTACCTTCAAATGCATTACTTCAAAAAAGTCAAACAAAATTCAAAGAAAACAACATTATATACACCATTACAAATATTGTAAGTGTCGATAACTATCGTACGTAGAATAAGAAAACCATAAAACTGTGACAAAGAGCATCAAATGTAAAATCTTTCACGTGATGAAACAAAAGAAAAGGTTCTTTTAATAGTTGTTACACACAAGTGATCAGAAAGTATAAAAAATAAAAAAACGATAAAAATTTGCTGATATGATAAACAAGTCACAAACAGGCTATATGATGAAGGACATGTTTTGTTTAATTTATTTTATTAGAGCCACTATGTTGACGAGATCTTAATCCTCGAAACAATCGTGGACTAGGTACTGAATTAAACACATTTGCTTTATACATATCGGGAGTTTCGTTATGGTGATGAAGTGTTGCAGAATCGGTTTTCAATGAAGGTTGAGAAATGACAGAAATAGGTTTAGTGTTTACATTATCAATATGATGCCGCGAAAACATGCTTTTAGCACGGGTCACTGATGATGTTCTTGAATGTGCACTTGTTGCACGATATGAAGAAACAGTTTGTTGTCTCTGTCGGACACTAGGTGTTTGTGCAACATCATCAGTGTATTTTAGAGCATTATTATTATTAGTTATATCATTAGGAGCAAGATCAGAAGCTGAGTTTTGCGAATAACTATGATAAGTTTCTTGTGTAGTGGGAGAAACAGAAGAAAATTTTACGCCGCCTGATTTATTGACTACACCTCGACTGAACGATAAATTTGATTGATTGCGGTGCACTGAAAAAGAGTGAAAACAAAGTGATTGACTTAATTGATAAGTTGGGAAAAAGTTAAACAATTTCAAACCATCAAAATTACACAGCTAAGCAAACAATACAAACAACAATAAAAATAACAAAGATGATGATGGCGACAACGACAGAGTACATGCAAAAAAAACACGAACCAAGAAACAACACAAATTTACAGCAAAATGAAAGCAGAAATAATCACAAATATAGTAGCAATTATAACATAACAGTAAGAAAAAAGACTAAATTGCTTCTAAACACAAGTGTAAACTAACCAAACCCATGATAAATAAACAAAACAAGATGCAAGTATATGTGAAAAGTAGTTGGAAAAATAAACAGAATAACACTAAGCTAACAGAGACCACGATTACGGCTACATTACATAATGATGAATAAGTAGACCATTGACGAAAACGAAACTGTGCACACTCACTAAATTTACTTAGAATAGAAGTAATTATGATAGTAGGAGTTTAACGTTTTATTTCCTCATGCAGGCGAGTAATTACTTGTTCCAATGACATAATTGACCCTACAGATCAATAAGAAGCAATTGAAATATGCAGAGAAATTCAATAGATTTACGCTTGAACAGACAAAAAATTGATAGTTACAACAATATTGATGGAAGGGAATAAATGATGATCATTAATACATGCACGCTATTGGCAAACAATCAACAGATATTTATTTAAATAAATGAAGCGGCCTATTCAAGAATTTATGAAAAGTCTAAACATACACTAAAATAAAGCAAAAAAAACCTAGCTTGTACGAGTTGCATACATAAAGAATTTAATTCTTACATAGGATGAAGCTAAATGGTTTCAACTAATGGAGTAAACAGATGAAAAGAGGATGTTGTTGCATTAAAATTTATACCAGTAAAAGCAAATGTATGAATTAAACAAAAGGGATTAATATAAATATTATGATTAGATGAAATTAACAAGAAATACTGATTGTCATTGTAGAATTTTATTTATTTAAACACATAAACATTGATACAAGGAGGCACCAAATATATATGCGCCACACAAATCATTGATATATTTCATTTGATCAATTTGTCTAAAAAAAAATACAATTTTCTACTTCCACGGTAACTAATAGTTAAATACAAGTGGAATCAATATCATTTTTCATGGAGATCCTTACATATATTATATGACTTATCTCGGAATCAGGTTTACATGTACGCATTTATTCAAGTGACTTATGATTTGATTTCAGCAAGTTGACACAGTTAAGAACGATGAATATAGCTTTCTTGATACGACCCTTTGAGTAAACGTGAATAAGTGACGACGAGAAGCCTCACTATGACTGTGTTAGAAAATATACTAATAAAAAACTTCATGCTTCATGTTACAAACAACCATGTTTATTGTTTTAATGTTAATACATCCAGCTGACGAGTCCCAAACAGGATGAAACGCGCGTCCTAGATTCCACCACTAGCCACATTCTATTTTAATAGAACGTTACATAAACCCAGTGAAAATCACCTATCATAAACTCATCTTATACCGATTTTATCGTTTGGAAATAAGTTTTAGTATAATAGCTTAACTATACCTTCATGTCATTGTTTACAGTTGGGATAAGACCTGTGGAATCTCAATGCAAACTAATTTACAAGCAGTTCTACACAACAGTCCACAAGTATATCAAACTTAAAAAGGAAAATTATCTTTTCATAAGGGTGTTCAATATAAAATTTTAATTGATTTTTGTTAGCATATGTTTAATTTAACCTACCTGCCTCGATAGGGAATTTCATTATAAGTTTTAATGCATTAGCATTGAGATACAAATTTATCAGATGAACTAGTTTGTGAAACATGCATCGTATACTCTACTGCCATCCATTATATATATGGTGGAATACTGGGTTCAGTGGTATATTGTAAATTAGAACATATACAAGCAAGCAATGTCACATTTAATAAGATCCTCATCACTTTGTACTATATTATACAGTAATGCAATCTATATCATTATTATCACTAACTCTATAAACTGCCTAGACTAGTTTAATATTTTCATATATCCATGTAAATATCATTGTATACTAGAATAAAGCCTGATGAAGATCTCGCTAAGAACAATATTGTTAGCTTATATATGAAGAAATGTTTATATGGATATCTATTAATATAGAAAGAGATAGGCTCATACACATAAAAACGTACATGTTTAGGAAACAATGGAAGTAAACACAATTCAACAATACATATACAGAAATATGGATTCCCATGGAAACATAGGACACGTAGGCAATGAAATAAAAGATAATTACAGTGTTTACTATAAAAGTACAAAAAAGTTACCACTTTTTGAATTTGGCAAAAGTATCGATTCAGCGTATTCTTCAAAGCATGTTGACAATGTATACTTGGATATTATTTGTCGTAGACTTGAAGCACGATCCTCATATCTTCGTTTTTTTAAGAAATAAATTGAAAAATTACTGAGTTAAGATAGAAGCATTGTATCTATAAACAATCCTGATCAATATATATATATATATATATATATATATATATATATATATATATATATATACGCGACGATTGTAAGTACTATTTATCATTGAAAACTAAGATGGGCTAGTATAGGACTTCTTAGCAGTGCATAATAACGACATTAAATGACTGCCGCACCATATCGAAAATTATTTGAAATTGGATGATGAATGGTGGGTTGAGATATGAGTTATATGTGCACCTTTGATAGTGATAATTTATAACATCAATTTTTGGCCTAAATAGTTATATCTTAAACAAACGGTTTCGAGAAATCTCTAATAAAGAAGTTTATAGACTACTAGAGACTGGATCATTTGGTGGTATCAGATGCGATGAGAAAAAAAATGAAGGAGTCAATTAAACAGCTGAGATAATGGAACATTAACCAACTGGATCCCAGCAATAAAGTGTTTAAGATCAAAACCATTAAGTTTTTGATAAGTGACAAACAAAGGATAAAGAAAACAACATAATATATACTTGGAGACAATACCCTTAACGTAATGATAGAAGGGATTTGAAAACTATATAATTAATTACGAAATCATCAAGAAAGGATACGGATGACGATATCCCGGTTTAGTAGCTTGAACAGCACGACTAGCATTAATAGCTGTAGCACGGACTAGACCTGGTAGAACATTTGCAGTTAAAATAGCATTTTCCACAATTGGTCCAAATAAACCAACCTTTATTAATTCGGAAAGGAACACATAGAAGGGTATTTAATAAACATCATATATTTAGTAATATATATATATATATATATATATATATATATATATATATATATATATATATATATATCACAACAAAGAAAAGAAATGCAAACATGAAGAGAGGGCATTAGAGACCATAAATTAAAATCATTTGGAAATTATATTGAAGTCAATTTTACAAATGAACCAAATGAGAAAAAACGATGTAGACTATAAGTTTGATCCATACCTACTTCCTTTTACATAAATAAACTTTTGATAAGGCAACTGTTATGAAATGCACATGTACATGCTTATCCCATAGTTTATTCAATAAAAGATAAGGTTGTACGGGTAACAATCGTATTCAATGAAAGGAATATACTGATTTTTATTTGCGATATTGAAATAAGATATTGACACGAATTTTAAGTACGAACTTCCTATAATACTCAAGCTGAAAGTTTATATTCATCAAGAGTTCAGTCATCATTCAGATGATAAAATTACATATTATATAAAATTTTTAAAAAATGGTGTGTTGTGTTGCAAGATAAATAATTACATAAAAGTTGAATCGGAACTGTAGCAGAACGTCAGCATCGAGAATGTTGTAAATCTCCCGTGAAATGTAGTTGATTTATGGAATACTGACATTTGCCCTTCAGCATAGAATAGTAGGCAATAAAACGTGTAAGATATTGGACGACTATTTATCATAACCAATTTATCACAGTAATTTACACAAGAACTCCGCATGTAGTCCTCCTAGAGTTTCTATCAATCGCATGCTCGAATAAAAGAGAAGGTTTGGGAGTGGGGGTTAGCAACTGCACCACGTAAAAAACACTGCCAAACAGAAACTATTAGAACTTTGAGTTTAGAGTCGAAGGGTTTTCTTACAGGAGAGTTGTGACGCCTCATAGTAAAACCCGAGATTCTACAGACGTTATGAGGTCGACGACTCCTCTTCTGACAACCAGAGTAAAAACTGATAGAGGTAGATAGAATGTCTGGCCAATGTGGGAGACTGATAAAATCAATTAAATAGCGGAAGAAATGAAAAACAGAAAATCGAAAATAATCAACGGGAAATGCAAAATAATCTAGCCGATGTGACAAACCTGGGCTTCACGTCGTACTTCAACTTTAAACAGTCCATTAAGTAAAGGTGAAATAATGATTAATACATCGCCGAATTGTGTACGTAATATACTTCGTCTAAAAGCACGTGAATTCTCATTCCATATAATCATAATTTCATCGTTTCCCAAATGTTTATACTGGTAGCATTAGAAAAAAAGAATTAATTTGGAAGAAAAAAGAACTGTGAGGAAGTCATTCAACAATGAAAGTGATGTATGAATTTGTTTATTTAGGCTAGACTATGTGAAATGGTGTATCAGGAACTAGAAATTTTACAAAAAAAACTTTCTGCTATTTAAAATATTTAGTGTATTTCAGAAAACTAGTTGACAATTTTAATCGTATGATGTAACAAAAACTTAGTTGTATCACCAAATTAATTACGATGACTGTACTGAAGTGTAAAATCACATACAATAATTTGTATTTTACCTCCAAGAGATGTATTCGTAGATGGATGATAATCAACATAAAAAGTTACAAACCTGAAGTGTTTATGCGCTTCACCAAGAAAGAGGTATGAAAAGTTAATGTTCCAAATCGACCATGTACAGTGATACAATGGTAAAAAGGTACATATATCAAATCCACCATTGGATCAAACAATACAATAATAAGTCATTATGCATTCAAAAATAACAATTTTATCGCATTAAATGAGATAAGTAAAAATGTACACTACAAAATTATTACTAAATATCGTTGGATGGAGTGTAAATAACTAATCTTAGCAGGGATTATAGACGGTGAAGTTTTATTGCTGATGTAACTATGTGCAGTAAATTAGTTAAAAGAGTCAAACAGCTCATTTAAAGCAACCTTAGATGCAGAACAGATGAGTTTGGGCTAGCCCTATAATTCAAGACGACTGTTTCGCGCTACGAGGGACTCATCAGGAAGGCGTACCTGCAGCTGAAAGTCGATATTTATGTGAAGACTGAAAATCAATACCAAGTACACAAATATAGAGTATAATATATCGGGAGTTTGTATTTTCAAGTATCGTCGAATATATGGTACTATTTTTAAATTGTCGTGGAAAGCACTAAAACGTACGAACAAATCAAATCCAGATGGAATATATGTATTTATTTAGAGCAAACATGGATTGTTTATGAAATGTATACACTTCCATTTGTATCTGTTATGTGTTCCGCAACCCAACTGGTTGTAGACTGTCTCCTATAGTTTCTCATCTGATCTCATAAGCATTGTGAACTCATCGTGCTTTTGGCTTCCTGATTATCCTGTATTTGTTTGTCGACTGCAGAAACTCTCATGCGGCGCCCTGCTACATACTACTTATAAGCACCCACCACAGTACTTATGGTATTATTTTCTATAATTTATATATTTATTTTGCTCGTATGCAATAAACGCAGAAAGTTTGGAAGCTTAGTGCAGACTGGAGTTGGAAATAGTCATAAAAATAGTTGGTAATGAAGCATTTAGTTGTTAGTGGTGTGTCAATTTCATGTATATGTTTAAGTCTATTACTCTTCAGTAAACTGCACCAATTCTACAAGAAACCAGTATTTCGCTTTTCATTAAGCTGATAATTTATTGGCTATATCTACCAAGCTAATATTTTCTAAAAGTCATGAAGCACGCGATAGACAAGTTTGAGTGGATTGACCAGCAAATAAACTAAACAGATCGACAGAGTAAAAATATGAGCAAAAGAAAATAAAAAAACAAACTAACCTTTAAATCTTCTTGAGTAGATGAAGGCATTCTTGTTGAAACATGAAAAATAACTTCTAAAGTAGATGTTGCATAATATGGTGTGGATAAACCAGCACGTCCACTACATTCCAACCCACCACGAAATCCTTTATGTTTAAGTAAATCAACCTCCCAGCCAAGACCAGCTACAAAATTTTCAAATTCTAAACTAGCCGTTTGATTTGATAAAATAGACTGTTTATCTTCTTGTCCTGCTCCAACATAGAATATAGCAAGTTTATGAGTTTCGCGCCTGAAATAATATATAAGAACATTAGCAATACAGTTATAGACACATATATGGTTACATACAGCTTTACGTGAATTCATGAACTATTAGCATGGATATTTAATAAGAAAAAAGTGTGTTTAAAATCAACATCTATTCAAATTAAAAATCACTATGAAGAATTCAAAAAGAATTCAGGACGCGTATTTTATTTAGGTGGCTTATTGACTAGAGTGATCTGTATCTAAGTTTCAGTGTTCAGACCGAGATATACTCCTGAGATACTGAGTATCTAGATTTGAATGCTAGCCACTACTAATCAACGATAATCAAAACTTGTGAATAAATAATATCATTGAAGCAATACACTCAGGATATCTATAAGTGAATCAAAGAATGATCAATTATAGCCCTCAGTACATCAACAAAGGGGAAGTACAAGCCCTCATATATTTGAAAACGGTGTTGTTAATATTTTTTGTGCTAAGTGATTATTTCTTTGTACATTATTCTGCGTTTAATTCCAAATTCAAATACAATTAATTCCAATTGTGCTCGACGAGCTCTGTCTGATAGTTCTAGGAATTCCTGGTTAGCATATCAATTTGACTAGTTTCAATTATCACAGCTTATCTATCAGTGATAAAATATTCTCGATTTCATGATTTACAGTGAACATCATAAATCATACCATTATCAGTTGATGACAGCAAACTATAGATTCTGTGCTTATGAAACACCGGGAAATACACAATGATCCATTGTATTTAAAACTGAGATTCTACAAGAACTGAATAGTGACCAATTTCATGTTTGTCTAATGACTTGGCGCTGATCGAAATCGATCGATCAAATTTACACTATAACAATTAATCTAAGTGATTTCTAACATTGGTATTACTATTTTGAGATGTTAGTTTGGTTGGAGACAGCCGACACAAAGCCTTGGATCTAAGTTTCATATCATAGTTAGAACCGGTTAGCAAGCCGTACTTGTCATCTTAAGGGGGAACTGATAATTGGTTACAACTTTTATCATCAGAGTAAAAAATTTTTTAAAAATTTAAAATGAACTAACGATCCAAGATGATCCAAATGTTTTAATTCACGTATAAGAGCTGGAGATATTTGTAATAATTCAACGGTAGGTCTATGCTTCCAAGATAAATAACCTAGTTGATTTAATAAATGACGCGAATTATAAAATTGTAAAGTATTTTGTTTCATTGATTCTAATTCTTGAACATTTATTTTCTTATCATTGATCAATGAACGTATTGTATACTTCAGAGAATTTCTATAACCAGTTTTTGGTAAAGATATATGAGAGTTATATAGTGATAATCTAATGGAATAAATGTAAAGAAAAGAATAAAAAAATCAAAACATGAAGAAATTAGCATTGTAAATAAAATAGCAAATGTTTATAATAAACTTGAAGAGTTAGTTTCCAATGAAGATGGGATCGTCTACATAGATTTTTTTTTGGAAAAAACCCCATGTAAACAGCGGTAATAAATGATTAATCTACTTGATTAAATGATCTGGTAATAGATGAATTTTACGCATGGATATCGAAATAATCTGAAATTTTTTATTATCAATTGAAATAACTTATGATGGTATAATATATGCATATTCATCAAATAACAAGTATATTGTATAAAAGTATATTTTGCATAATTTTATGAGATGTAAACAAACAAAAAATAAGGTAGATTATGTATGTGTTTTAGAATTATTGTTAGGATCACGTGTAAGGTTGTAGATAGATGATGTAGTGAATTAGCTGCAAACTTTTATTGATTTAGGTGATTAAGAGATATTTTATTTCATGTCTGTAGTTATTGCCTACTTTGAGAATTGGCTAATAATGGATTAACTGTAGGTGAAGCAATTACATACATCAATTAGAGTAGTTTGGTGTATTAACCTTCATTTTATAAATAAGTTTTGATCTTTCTATGGTATTTAAATAGGATATATGTTAACTTTATTTGTTCCTTGTGAATCATATTTTTGTAGTGACTAATTTTTATTGTGAGCACTAGTATTTCGAAATATTTATTATTATTTGGTCAATTTATTGTCTGTATATTAACATGAAGTATGACAAGCTGAATGAATCGACATTTTTTTTTTCAGTGTTTCTAAATATTTACTCCTACCACAATCATTGTTTACTCAGTGGTCCCAAAATACACGACTAATACTTCAAAAATACATATAATCAAAAATCAGTAAACTATGAATACACCCTACTTTTAATGGTCATGTTTGACACCCATAAAGTAGAACGGAGCATACTGCTGTGCAGTAATTTCGTCCTTTACTTGATAGACAGATATCTCGCGTACGCCATAAGTGAGGAGAGTTGGCAAAAGTTAATCGAGCCTTTTAAATCCGTGCCGTGAGTTCATTGGACACCAGATCATCAGGACTGATAAGACTCCCAAGATAAGTAAAGCAATCGATGAGTCCAACTACTTCACTTAATGTCATTTATTCATGAACTGACGCAAGCCAGTCGTGAGGCAAGATTTTGAACTTGAAAGAAAGATAACTGCATTCCAAAAATGGTTGCATTATTATTTAAGGTGGTCAAAGAGTGAACTTCGTCAGCATTTTCATCAAGAAAAACTTTTATCTGCAAACTTAGAGTCAACAAGTGAACGTCTTGGTAAAAGAACAACCCCTGAAAAGTCAGAAGATGAAAGTGTTATCATTAAAGGTATGAACTTTTTACTACTGCGGTATCTCTCGAGGATCGAAACCATGACATTGAGACCTTGTGACAGCGGCTTAGCTTTGAGAACATCGAGCAGACGGTCTAGTGATTCACATGTCTAACTTCAATCAATTTACAATATTACACAACTAGCTTTCGATGATGTCACTAGTTGTATCGCATCAAAATGATTGAATATATGTGAAAAAAATCACAGCATAAGTTATTTTGCTGATATGATTGATCAAGTCCTAACTGAATGTGAAATAGAAAACTTGACAATCACATTAATTTGATACTAGTTCAGTGAAATTTGTAAAATTGATTAAGAAAAAAAAACATTAGATACATAATTTCTATACATACACATCTAAATCTGGTAACTTTCGATGATTCACATTCTCATCTATTTGATATTGAGCAGTAATCTGATCACATGTCACTTTCTCCATATTCAAACAAGCAGTTTTTTCTTTATCAGAAATATTTTTCGAATTTTCATATTCACATAGCTTTGATGTGCACCAGTTAATTGAACATTCTGGACTAGTTATTGCCAAATCTCTTAGAACCTAGTAAAAATAGCAATAAAAAGGATAGTGATAACGAGAACACTACACACTATATATTTACCATGACACTGCGTTTCTAGTTTGTTTTTTTAAATCACATGATTATTTATGTAACTTGAAGAACACTTAAAACTTTGAAAAAAGAAATAACAGCCGGATCTAATCATGAACTAAAACCTTGACTAGAGAATCATTTTGTTTTGTATGATGGTTAGATAAAAACAGAAATTACTATATAATACTGATCAAGGTTTGAACATATTATTTACGACAGTATGGGGTTGTGGAGACTGTTGGATTTCATTGATATCCCGAACCGATCTAAGTTGGACAACATTTAAAACTGGGAAGGACTGGACATCTATTCTATTTAAGTACGAGATAATTCGACAGTGAACATTTGTAACTTCGCAACCACGAATCGAGCCAAGGATTCTCAGTCTCGGGTGCGAGCGTTTGACCTCTAGATCATTGACCTGGGGTCTATTAATATACAAGTTGAACATCAATAAATCCACGATATTGAGTTTGTTTCCAGGTCGCAGATGAGCACTGATGAGGAGTTCTGTACTTGCACGTCTAATATTTACAGGTTTTCAATGGTTTTGGTTTGTGATTTCAATCTTCACGATTCAAATATCTTATATAATAAAGTGATACATTAGTAGTAGTACTTGAAGAAAAAACAAGACTAAATTGGAAAGTGGTACTAATGTAAATGACAAAACGTTCCGTAAACACTTTTTCTAGTGAAATTGAAAAACAGCGGTATACAGAAGAAACAAGTTACAATGAAATCATGAACCGATCCAAGTTAGACCAATACCGAGAACGTGAAAGCAGTGAACGGGCGTTTTATCCTGGTATGGGAATCCTCAGCACTGCATCCACGATTCTGGAGAAAAGACTGGTTACGTGAGCGATCTCTTAGCCTCGAGATCAATGTGACAGCGCATAACAGTGTTAATGACTAACTTCAATCAATGCATGTTATCGCGAGACCATCTTCTATTGTCTGTGGTGGGTAATGCCACACATCCAAATTCAATCAAATCCAACAATCTTCACAACCTCATACTAACAAGAAACAGTTTTGATAAGTATAACAAACTTACGTCACTTAGCCGATCGAGTTGATCAATGGTATTTAGTGTTAACCCGTTAGTTGTCAGTGGGGGCGGATTTACTCTTGGAGGAGGACATGGTGGTGGATCGCGTGTAATCAAGTGTGAATTCGAATTATCAGAATCAACCAGTCGTAAATTAGTATTTGTAAGTTCATTCAATTGTTGAGTTTCCTGTTTTTCTTTCATATCAACTAGACTAGCATATAAATAAGAGACATCCCAACTATATTTACCAGATAGATCACGTGTAATAATTCTTGTATAGAATTTATCTGAATGAAAAATAATATAAGAATATGATATAGTAAAATATTTGAGAACTATGTACATGTTGGCATACATATAAAAACATAAAACAATTCATAATAGTTTTCTATTAAAATTAAAATTTGTAGACTCAGTGAACCAACAAAATCACTAAAAAATGAAGCGTCAACTGAAAAATCACTATCTGAAAATGCAGGAAATGTAAAACGCATTTATGACAAATTGAGGAATGAAAGAGTAATCTTACACCTGAGCAATTGTTCTTCTCTAATAAATAAAAACCTATAATTGGTTGAGTTTAGAAGCGTTTACTGGGGATCGTAAAACCCTTATAGCTAAGACGACGAACAAATGTTAGCTAGACAATCTTTAAAAACCAGGAAGCACTACACAGTTGTTTTTTTCTAATGTAGGACTAATAAAAAAAGTACACTTATGATCCGACCCACAGTTGGACCTACGACCTTTGATCTTGCGTGCGGTTGAGTTGGCATCCAATGGTGTAAGACAATCGTCTGACGCAGGCAATGAGAAATCGCCGCGCGATTTCACGAACCGACTGAAGTCAGACAAGTACAACACTGGATCCTGGCTTAGTGGTCTAGAGGTGAGGAGTTAGCAAGCAATAATGAAGATCCTGAATTCAATTCCCTGTTGTGGGGTCGTGGATGTGGACTGTCGAGTCACATAATAGGGCGAAACAACTACCAAACCTCCCCAGGTTATCAATAGCTATTCAACTAAGATCAGTCTGTGATATGAACTACGAAAATATTACCACAGTTTAAACTAGCTATTACACATGAACTAAGTGAAATAAAACACAGTACTTAGCAAATACAATGAATTTTATGTATGTACTTAGTCGAAAGGGTACAATAACAATGAACTGAAAGCATTTCATAATATCAACCGGAAACAAATTAGGTGTTTAAGTGATTGAAAATAATTGGTTGGAAACCTTAGATTTAGATTCAATGCTTGCTGGCACTGATCAGCAAGGGATAATCATTTACATAGGATTCAAACTTGGATGATAGTTTTGCAGTCGAAGACACTGACTATGAGCTACTCAGGCCATAATATCATGTCATTTAGACTAGTTACAACAATCCTTAATCAATAGAAAGAATTTGACCAGCACTATGGATACAAATAATGATGATGATAATAATAAAGAATATACTAGTTTCTACTTTGTGATGAGACATTGTAAATGATTAACTGGTACCAAATGAGTCAACGAATACATCAAAACTCATAAAATTAATAACAAACAGTCGGATAAACACAAAATGCATACCTGTTACCAAACTAGACTTTGATGAATCCACTTCGACATCGTTAGAATTTAAACATGATAATGGTAGATAAGAATAGGTGGAATTGTTGAATTCGAGTACTTGTAGTTCAGTATTGTCCTTATCACTACTAACTGTAGTAGGTAATAAATTATCATTGATATTTCTCGATTGGTCAGGCAGTTTCACAATGGGTAATGATAGGAATGTCAATATAATTGAACGATCTAACACAAATATTTGTAAATTATTTCGTTCAAAAATCTCCGCTGTTAATTCGGATAAATCATCCATATTATTATGATTGTTAGTAGTGAATTGTTTTTGAGCAGATGATATACTATGGGATAACTGATCATGACGTTCTTGTATGGATGTATTCAGTTGTACACATTGTTTCGACTAAAAAAGTACACATGTATGTATATTTTTTCAAACATTTACATAATGACAAATGTTAGGGAATGTTAATAACTGATTCTGTAAACAATAAAATGTTTGAAATATGTAAATTCAAACAAGTCTCAATAAATTCCAATGAACTTTAGACGAGAATGAGAGTGACCCAGTGACTAATCTAATTCGTACAACACGTGCATTCATATTAATTTTGAAGATCAAAGTTTGTTGTTATACTAACATAGGACATCGCGTCACCGATTATTAAGATAACATCTGCTACCCATGTAGGTCTCAAATGTCAAAATTTTCTCATGTATACTGGTAGCTCATTAGTTCATTGATGTTAAATGATCTTCGCCCTGGGTTTATAATCTTGTCCTAGAACTGTTAAGAGACCTGAAGATGATTTTGTTTCGTATGCAGCATTTGTTAATGAGCAATGCGAGAGTTCTAAGTTGCATTCACAATAGTTATTGGGACTGAGGGGCATGACCCCCCAAAGCTTATGCAAGTATTTAGCCATTAATGTTAATGATCGTATTATCACTTTGCAGTTGGAGACTGCATTCGATGTTACTTTGATTTCTCGCAAAACTTAGCACAGACTTGGTCGGCCAAGCATTGGTCCTACTACCGATTGAATAAAGAATGCATCAGGCATTCCAATCAAAATTTCTGGAATTATCAAATGTACAGTCGAATGTATTTATCTAATAATCAAATCTAAATGCTAAGTTACTGATGAATCCTTGAACCTAGTAGGTCTTGAGTGGATCACAGAAATAAAAATGTTTGATTATCTATTTAATCTAATTTGTAATCCATGTTGGAAAAATGCTCGATCAGTCATCCGATTTGATTTGCAATCAAGTATGTCCATATCCTCATACAATTCACAGAGTGTTATGCCCCGATAAGCATAATGAATGGTAACTTTTGAGGTACATTTATGGACCAATACTATGCGTATATTTTTATCGTATAATTGTTAAATAACTAAACTGTTCATATTTATGTCCCTTTTAATATGAGCTCTATTTTAACCTATGAACTATTATTATACGAGTTATGCCCTGCCTATTAATAACTATCTCCCACACTCACAGTCACTTTTGGCTAAATCTTGTACAAATGTTGTTTCCTATTTTATGGTACGATGTGCTCTGTCTGGTATATAAACCTAGTACGTTTTGAAATAAACGATTCATGTCGCAGAGAGTGAGATTGGTGTTCTGGATTTAAGTGGCTGAACTAGGCAGGAAACAAGACCGATAAAACTCTAGACATCTCGCACGGGTTTTATGCGTCATTGGTCCGATCGATAATTCACTGCTTTAATTGGCGGTATCATTACGTTATACATTAACAGGACACACAAGCCAAAAGTTATAACACAAACGGAGGTAGCAATTTTCTAGTAACTTTGAAGATAATCACGAGGCAAGGACACGACTGGCGAAATCTTCACCTAAGGGTGTCTCCGCTGTTCGGAAGGAAAATTCGGACTTCATTTGATAACATGTATCCACAAAGAAGAAGATGAGATTATAAACCCAAGGCGAAGAGAATTGAACATCAGTTTACTAATGGGTGACATATAAACCATACCCACCATAGACGATTAAATTAAGATAAAAAAAAACCTCCTAGCTTGAACTTGCAGCTAGATTATTTAATTGATACAGTCAATTTTGAGCAACAGGATCAGAGCAGAAGTGATGGCCAGATCCTAAGGAAATCATCAAGAATACGACATTTTATTTAAATCCAGGAAGCATAACTTATTTTTCAGGAGGGAAATGTGATATTGGGAGTCAATCAGAAGTAGACTAATGAGAAGGCCAATCGATGGCAAACAGAAGTGACCTAAAGGACGGGTGCATTTCACTCGGTAAGAAATGGATCAAGTTCCTAAGGATTAGAGTGGTATATATAAGAATGAGTATTTGTGCATTTTATTACGTAGCCCAATACACTTTTTCGCCTAAGTAGTCAGTTGGGGAGGGGGGAGAATAGCACACCGTGTGTCAGTATTAGATTTTGGACACCGCCCATGACAACGGAACTATATGGACATTTCCCCTCACTGATTTATTTTAAAGTTTAAAACGTGTATTCAATCTACTAAGCATAATAATGTGATCAGTGAAAAGAAGACAGGGTCATACCTGATTAGCACGAGATGAAAGCGACAAAAGAGATTGAAATAATGAAGTGTCAATAATAAACAGCAAGGTCAAACCGCAGGGATAAGGTTTCAAAAAAAACAAGGTAGAACGGTAAATATGAAACGATACTGGAACTCAAGATCGAGGGGAAGATAAAGAGTAAATAAACTTGCACCAATGTGAACAATTCTGGTAGGCAATGATTTCTGAGGTTGATGATAATTAGGCATACGTTACATACGTCAAAACAACCTTAGTGCATGAAGATTCAGTACTTAATTAGCCGGTTTGTCACCTTTGATAAGTACTCTAGGCCTAATTTCAACACTATTAATCCAGTCATTCCACGAAACACCAGTAATGTTTTGAAGACACCCATGATAAGAAATCACCCTACGCATGTCTTATACTTTCATAGACCACGTTTCATAATCGTAAAGTAGACCAAAGCGAACTGTTGAGCAGTATACACGCAGTTAACACAAGAGTAGCAAGTTGACAAACTCCAACAGGGCTCTATGTGTTTGTGCGGAAAGTTCGCTGAACGCTACCCCAGACTTCTTAATGGAGATTAAACAAAAAATGAGAGCATTCGTGTAATACATATGACATTTTCCAAGGATTCTATCTGGAAATATACTAATTCGATCCCGATAAGAGCCATTAACTTGACGTGATGGTCAGACCTGAATATCGTGATGATATAATCGAGACATATTAGGTGGGACAGTTGTTCCTTTAGGCTATATCATGAACGACAGGTTGGTTAGAGAACGTTAAGACTAAAAGCAGTAAGCTCATCATCAGAGCCAAATATACAGGGGGTGAGAAGAGTAAGGTGTTTCTTCTAGACAATCAATATGTTTTTCGATGCAGCTTTCTCACATTCCACATTGTCTTTGTTTTACTAATTTGATCCAGTTCGTTAAATACAAAGAATAAATACAAAATAATTGTCCTCATTGTTCATTTTAGTGACATGACTTTATTGCAGATTGACTTTTTCATATCTGTCTGGAAAGCATATGATTAAGCTTAGGTAATAGTAAAACAAATAATCACTCACAATCAGAGATTTAAATTCATAATTTACTGAGATCCCTCCTGTCACCAAAAAACACATTACAAAGTATCTGATTGATAAAAAACCTACCATTGGAAACTGGTCTATATGATTGAGTAAATGACTCATTGCCATTCGTGCTGCTAGTCGTACTGACTCCATTGCACTATTCATATCATCATTATAATGATATAGAATCATACTATTCTCTGCGTTAGCTACAATCCAAGACTTTGCTGTCATTGTGGATAGATCTAGGTCAGATTTTGGAGCCTATAAAAACCAATAAATATACATATATCAATGTCATTTAAAAGTTAAATATAATGAATAATTGAGGTACAAAATTTGAAAAATAAATTAAAAGTAGGATAATGAAATCTACGCAAAATACTTCGGATCCGTTGGCCCGACACTATCAGCAGCAACGTACTATGGGAGAGAACAAACCAGATCACAGCGGAGGAAGAAGCGCTGCAAGTGGATAAGACACAAATTGAGGAAAGCACCCCACTGCGTCACAAGACAAGCCCCCACTTGAAATCCTGAAGGCCAAAGGAGAAGAGGAAAACTAAACAACATATTACACCGAGAAATGGAGACAGAAATGAGTAGAATGAACAAAAATTGGATAGAACTAGAAAAGAAGGCCCAGAACGGAAGTGGGTTGGAGAATGCTGGTCGGCGGCCTATGCTCCATTGGGAGTAACAGGCATAAGTAAGTACGTAAGGATATTGAAATATTTTAAAGATTAAGTCAACAATCCATTATAAAAACACCGAGGTTTATTATATCTCTCAAATAGAAAATAAAACATTTATTTAATATTACTATTATTATCAAATCAGATGACTTTTATTGAGTAAAAAAGAATGTTTTCAATAAGACAGAAATTTTTCACAATGTACAGATTAAACCATTATGATACACATAAAACTGTTGTGTATTGATTTGTCAATAAATATGCCATAGAGAACATTTTAACTAAAAACAGAAAGAGTGAAAATCACATGACAATTAAAATTTAATTTATACAGCTTATAAAATGATTTCCATGGTATTAATCCGGCGAATTGAGTATATACATTTATTCTTTATTAATAATAAACTCTACAATTTGTACAAAAATAAAATTAAACGGAAATAATTACAGAATGCATCCCAATATATATATATATGATCAGGTTGATACAAAAAGCAACATGACATGTCAAAGACAGAGATATAAAGTTAAAATTGTTGGGAATGATGTATTTTATAAATTAATTCAAGAGGATATTAATGATATAAGGTAAAACTTGGGAATAATTAATACTATGAAGGAGAACTGGTATATTCTGATGATGAATGAATGGTGCATCGAGAATGTGATTTATAAAATCAGTTGAACACTAAAGCAAATAGAACTATGGAAATATCAGTAAATTAGTACATATTACGATGTCAGATAATATGTTGCATACGACTGACTGACTAATTATAAAGCTTTCTTTAGGCACAAAATCTGTGGAATATCAAATTTAGAAACAATATCTATGATGTACAAACAACCAGTTACAACATTTTATTTTCAAATGTAACCATTTAAATGATACAAATTTTTGCTGATTGGTACAAAATGTAACAATCTTTAAGCCTATCAACGGTGTAGTGCAGTTCATATTCTTTTGTAGTTTTGATGAAGTTTCATTCATTGAGTTGGGAAGCTTTCATTCTTCTTACGAACAAAATCATCAACATAACCTTCAGGTAGAAGAAGTATTCAAATATCTTCATATCTGACTGGCAGCTTGTCCTGTCGACTTTGACATTGATGAGTTATTGTTGTCCTGATCAAATCGAGAGGTAATCAAAATAAATTTGCAGACACAAACAAGTCAAAGATCAACAACAACCAACCAAGATGGAGGGAAATTCGAAAACCTTACTTCTACCTTAAGTTTATGCTGATAATGTTTAGAAGAAAAATGAAAGCTTGCCAATTAAACTATTCAGCTCAGTGAACCGAACTCTATTAAAATCATCCACTTGGGCAATAAATCTCTATCTTTCGCAATCATTATACGAAGTTGATAATCAACAAATCTATGTTGAATCTATCTTCAACAGTTATAATATGAACTTTTATTTTAAATTAAGCCATTACATACATAACGTGGAAGTATTTTAAAGTTCATTCGATGATGCACTATAGAGTTATCGAACTGTACTGGAAGCATATGATAACTTGTTAAACTTATACATGGATATATTTTACATCATAGAAATAAAAGTAAACATAATGGTTTGATCGGTTGTATAATATGTAAAATATATCTGAAAAAATAACAAAATATTATGATGAATTAACTGTCAAAGTATTATTATAACTTACATTGAATAAATTAATATCAATTGACTGTTTATATATATTAATGTATTCTCCTAAAGGATCTGTAAAGTTAGTACTTGATAAGTATTTAGATTGAGGATAATTGGAATTTTGTACTGAATTCATTAAAGTTTGTGAATTTGTATTATTCGATATAATGAAGCATAACACTTCAATTATTGTATCTAATAAATTCGATGCCGGTAATAATTTTAATTCTGATTTATTTTCAAAATTCTTTATTAATTGATCATACGGTATACGGATAGACCATTCGATAACTGATTGAATAAGACAATGAAAGAACTGTAGAAAAGTCAAATCACGGAAGAAATAAGTGGAGATATGATCAGTATAAAAATCCAACGAGAGTAATGTTTAATGAGAGAAAACAACAGAACAAAACAATTGGGCTAAAAGAACAGTTAAACGTTCCAAGGAAAAAATGACACATTTATCGCACCAATCTTATATATCATGACAAAAACTGATCAAACTTTTAAATCTCCATTAAAAGTAGTAATAGAACGAATTCGAAGAAAATAACAAACAATATGCTATAGATTACTGATAGGTCTAATTCTAAAGGACATTCATTTAAGGCAAAAGTAGACGGCTAATACTGTTGTTCGACAAAATGAAACTATAACATTCTTAAATTAACTGTATTGTTGGGAAATACTGAAATTTGGTAAAAGCCAGGTCGCTATTTATCTAACTGTAAAAATATTTGAATATGAAGAATCTTTTCACTAAATTCTTTTTGTCTAGTCATTAGGCAGTCAGCATTTATAACGACCATTGCTTAACTCAAGTACGCATACTTTTTGTGACCTTGGAACCATCGGTTATAATATCCTATATTATTTTATTTAGCATTTCAATCTGATTAATCGATTTCCACCTCCTTGTATACATTACAGGTTAGCATTATAAAGTCTTATGTTTGGAAGTGAATAATTTAGAGGGAAATCCTTATTAATCACCAAGATTGATAAAGCCGCGTTAACTAAAAAAAATAATTTATAGTTTCACGTCACAAAATGATCTTAGTCAGACAACCATTGAAAACCATAAAGTACTGAACGGTTGTGACTAGCAAAGTTGAACAGTGTCGGATGTAAGACAGATATGCACCAATGGAATCGACAAACTGTTACAAAATTCCACGAATTGAATAAGGTTAGAAGACTAAATGGTTGCTTAATGGTTTAATAGTTGATTGATCACCTCAAGACCTAAAAAATTATAGGTTTGACCCATAGTGGGATTAAAGATGAGTACTGCTGAAGAGTCGCATACTAGAACAAAACTGATTTCCAGTTCTTCCTGGTTTTTAAAAGTAATTTAACTAAGATCACTTCGTGATGTACACAACAGAATTAAATAATCTCTATAAACCATTATATGAGAAAGAAATATTGTTCAGTGGATTTATATATATATTTATATACTTGACCTACCTGTTTATCAGTTAATGACATACTGTCAAGATTTGTATTGTCCCATGTAGAATATAAAGTCCATGCAAGTGACTATGTGAAATAGAAAAAAAAGAAACAGGTGAGCATGTATAGTACTAACATTAGTAAATAAATACCACATTATTAAGGCTTAAAAACAATCTACATATTATAACAGAAAAAAGTATAAAAAAACCATGTCACTTAATAATCATTAATTTGAATAATTGATGAAAAGTGATATAATGCAAACAAATAAACTATTTTATTAATATCAGAATGGGTTTTGTGGAGAGTTTTAGAAATTTCACAGGTTGAAATCATGAGTCAGTTGAAGCTAGACCACCATTGAAAACCTGGAAGCACTGGACGGCCGTTTCGTCCTGGTATGGGACTCCTCAGCAGTGCACATCCACGATCCCGCACCACGCAGGATATAAAGTGGTAACAATAATTAACCTATGAAATTCAATCACCTGATCAGTGTAGTACACTGTATGTGAACAATTTCGAGATTGATCACGATCAATATATATATATATATAAACACATTTACTCGTATGGAAATCAAGTCTCTTCATTTCCTACTTTAAAACTTAAGAGACAAAAGAACTGAAAGCAAAAAATAACGTTATTTACTTGTTGAAATCATATAAAGCGTAGGAAAGTTAAGAGAATGAACTACTGTGTCAGATTTCAAGTTGTTACTACCAATGTATTCATCAAATATTAATCCAGATATATTATTAATACTTGTGAACAATGAAATTGTTTTATATTAAAATAAGCAATAACAAAAGTGACATAAACTGTTTGAACAATAATAAATTGTGCAAAACTTACCAACAACACTAGGGAGGGTAATTTCGCATCACGATATAGCAGAAGATGACAATATTCAGCGAGCGTATTGATCATCTCAACTGCAACGATAGATACAGCCCTATTTTGAAACCGCATCATTCCCAATAAAATTATGATAGATTCGAAAAACAAATTGTCCATTGATGTAAAACTGACAGATGATACAGTTCCTGATTCCTTTGAAAATGAATTCACCAGTTCAATGACACAATAAATTGATAGACCAGTAATAGCCAGGCATCGAACCTCTCCAGACGGATCTGACAAGACAGCTTGTATTAAACTGCGAACCAATTTTGACTGGATTTAAAAAAAATCAATATGTAAAAGATTAATAGGAAGGTTCATTAGTTATGGAGAACATGTTTGGCTCATCACAAAATGGGCAGTGCAGAGAACATTCATCCATAAGATTAGTTATACAGTCGGTAGAAATATAGTAGTTTTGTAACGGACACATAGAAACTCTTGGAGCAATTGTTTTAGTCAAAACCATAAACTAATGAGCACAAACATTTCCAGATCCTCCGATTACGGCAATAAATAAATGAAAATCAGAAGCACAATAAATGTATTATGTATGTGCAGATTACACATCCTAAATTCAGACAGTGAACTATTATTTTAAGCCCAAAAGATGAAAGGAGAAATGATAATGTTGAGTAAACTTTGGCTGGTTTACAGTTATTTTCCTCGGCAATCAACACATTCCAGCAAAATTTTATACTTTCATAAATTACTAGAAATACTTCCTGTCCATGAAACCATAAATAAAACATGAATTGTTACGAACAAGAGTAATTTGATCGTGTATCTCGGAACAATGCATACTACGTAAACTCTAAACAATCAGTTTATGAAATCAAGTTCAAAAATTAACAGAACTGAACATTCTACATAAGAAATTCGCAAGACACACCAACTATATAAACCATGAATCGCATGAATCTTAGAAAACAAGTCATTTTGAACGATGCATGCAGGAATATTGTGTACCAGTTAAGCATTACAATCTATGGTCGATGCTCATGTGTAGTAGTGTAAAGCTCAGTTTTTAGCTGAACAAACTATCAGAAAAACGAGATTAGATAAGAATTTAAAAGCATTTATTTAGGCATAACACATATACTAGTACAGCTATAGAAGAACAGAAAGTGGTAACAATACATAACCTATGAAAATCTATCATTTGATCAGTGGTAACAGATGTAAAACATATGCATGTGTATCTCAATGATATGATAGTCTTCAACAGAATAATGATAATTGAAAATCTGACCGAAAACACCGACAAAATCGTTCGAAAACACAACTGAATATCAGATCTAGTTGGTAATAAGCAATGTAGAATCTAGCATATATGTACGTCGGTCAAAGTTATCACTCCAGATCACCACATCAATGACGATTTACAATCTTATCAACTAATTTATTATCTTTCTCAACTAGCCTTTCCAACTCTCAGACTACAGTTAATAAATCAACCAACCTAACCGATAAAATAGGATTGCAATCTTTAATAATCTCAAAAATTATTCTGTCACGCTTCTCATTCTCTCTCCCCTTCTCGCTTAAGGTTAGCTATAAGCTCATAAATTTCGTTACGAGTCAGCAGGAGGTTTATGTCAACCTATTACGTAGATTATCATTTATAGAAATTTGTTCTAGTGACATTAAAAAACAGATCTAATGAGATCATTTAGTATTACTCATTTATAAGTAAGTAAGTAAGTGTTTATAAAAAGCGCTTTACGTATAAAAGTAAATGAAGAATTAAGAATAAATGGTAATTATTACGAGAAGAACGTATAGAAAGAACAATAACAGAAAGAAAGAAAAGTTGAATCACATGCATCAACCTCATTATCATCACCCCTAACTCATTTGCACCAATTTAAAATAGTGTTATCACAACTAACGCTACTACAATTATGTACATAAAATAATCTTTCTTGAGGGTGCGTACTGCTAAAGACTCTTATACTAGGACGAAACGGCTGTCCAGTGCTTCTAGGTTTTCAATGGTCATGAATTCAATTGTTAAAATTATAAGATATATATATATATATATATATATATATATATATATATATAATAGTTTTTCTCTTGTCTGAATATGATAATAATATAAGTATAAGCAGTTAAAAAAAGTCGGAAACACATACTGTTAAATCTATACACAAAATAGTTTTAGCTTTCATTGACATCGGATCGATTGATTCAAGATGATTAAAATGATAAGGATAACATAGTAGGGATAATATAATGGATATCGCTTCAGAACGTGGAATCTAGGTTAAGAAAATAACAAAGAAACAAATCAAAATCATTGATATTAATAAACAAAAATAATTGTAAAAAACAAACAATTTACGTAATCATCATCAAAAAACATAGTGAGTATCACATGGTTTTGTAAATTTATGGTGGTTCACTATCTATCAAGAAGTGAAATTTTCTTAAGAACTATATTCAATACCTGAAAATGAATTTACTCTCTATCCATATTATTGCCAGTATGCCATATATATATATATATATATATATATATATATATATATATATATATATATGTTTCATACTGAGTAGCAAGCAGATAAACAGGCATTCGCCATAAGCATTCATTCGTCCAAGATTGTAATGTAGTAAATAAGAACATGAGCCTGCTGTTAATAAGTGAGATATTATTGTGGCCTAGGTTACCACAGACATGTGCTGAAGTTAAAACCATTCCAGAATCTTATGTACGCACGATTTCTTAACAAATGAATCCAGACTCCAGATTCCCATCAGTTTTGATTTTTCTTTTTCATCTATCTTTATCTTTCTCTAATGATCGATTGCTGAATTATTTAAGAGTCATGAGTAGAGCTGGGAAATAGCGATAGTTAATGAAATTACGAAGGTGATGAGATAGTAATGAGAGTATCTGGACGGAACAGCTCCTCAGCAGCAAACTTAAAGTTGAGAAAAACCATACTGAACCTTTTCCTAATATATATATATATATATATATATATATATATATATATATATATATATATATATATCCATCTCACTATGGATACCAGATGGTTTTAATTTTTTGCTAAAATTTGGAGAGCTTAATACCACACGGTATTGAGATCAATTTATGATAACAAAAAAAACCATTGCACAAAGGTGAAATCAACATTCATAATTTGATAAAACGAATGAGAATTCGTGCATTCATAAAATTAGGTACTCACTTCCGTGCCACAGTTAGGATTTGATAAAACAATATTGACATCGCTTAAGAAATCTAGTATGAGTAAGTGTGTAGATGGAAGTGAAGACCCAAATAAACGCATATTACATGACCGGATAACTTCGAAGACATAGTTCTAAAAACAGGAAAGATAAAATATTTGTAGAACTTAAAGATGCCTTTAGATTCACAAACGGAGATAGTTTATAAACATACTAAGATACGACAATTTCGCCACTGTCATCAGTAACGTATAGCTATAGTCTATATACTTGCTGATTTAATACCCGTACACTTTCATTGGTTCGATCCCCTGCTAGAAGAAAAGTGTCTACAGATATTAAGAAGCTCAAACGAATTTGTGAAGAACATGAACAAGCAAAATGATTCATTTAACAGATGGCAGTGTGAAAGATAGCTATTTATAGAGCTTAAAACTGAGACGTACAGGAAACAAGTGGTTGTACGAGTGATAAATTTCCTTCCAATTTCTGACAAATGTAAGAAAAACGGTAATCTTTTAACTCACTTTTTAAGTACCCATTCGCGTACATGGTAACAAACACATTATAAATATGAGATCTACCACCTCACGGAGGGTTCAGATTTTTATAACTGTAATTCAAAGACGAACTAAGCTACCGCTATGTGTTGCTAAGAACTAATTTTACAGTTTATCATTCATATGTCGTTCTGAATATAGTGAAAGAAGTAAAAAAAAATGCCTAGTCATGAATTCATATACAGTTTAAGGGAGGTGAGACGTTTTATAGAACAATATCAGGTTTAGATCAAAATGAATAATAATACTGTCAAACTGAATTACCTCTTGTTTTGCGACGCTTATTTGATGAATAAGATGGTAAAAATGAGCAATTAATTCTGGGTCAGGACATCCATCATGAGAACGTATAACTATATCACATAGTGTACGTATAGCAATTCTTTTAGCTTCTATAAATTCTTCAGAAAGACTCATTGTCTAGGGAGAAAAAAGATCCGAAGATAAATCATACATAACGAATCACAGGAAAAAAAACACTAATAATATATGAATTGAGAGTGAAATATATTCGTCTCTAATTATTAATGACAATTATTATTATTATTGTCAAAAATAATTTTTTACGAACGAATACTATTAGTAAGCGACTGTATAAAACACAACTACATATTAAAACGTTTTTGCCAATGAGTAATAAAAAGTACCTAATGGTCTAAATCTTCCTATGTTTTCCTACAATTTACATTTAACATCCAAAACTATTGCATTACCTTTAAAGTAACACTATATCATAATTCAACTAAGTTACACGGTTTAGCGATGTCCCAAATGCATTCACTTCTAGTCTTAGATGATGGGTTGGGAAATCGTCTCATACTTTTGTTCCCACAGATTTGTTCTTTCTTCTTAGTTCATACTGTTTATGCCTGGTTTTCTTTCGCTACCAATGACATTATTGCGACTTCTACTACCCTAGAATGAATTTTGATCATTTCATCTAGTCGTGCTGATATGAAGTAGGAACTTAGACCAATATACATATTAGCCAAGTTCTACGTTGTCTATAACAGACTAACTGAGAAGGAAACTGTAAGATATAACAGATAGGTTTTTTGACGTATCCAGTATAGGTAAATAGCTTAATATAAACTTTGACTGTTTAACATATCATGATAAGTCTTTTGTATTTAATGACTAAACCAACTGTGAAAAGAGAATATGTTAAATCAATAATATAAATATACCAAATGGAAACACAAACAATTCAACAGTTGACACTGGGAAATATTTCCTAATACACTTACATTAAATAATATTGGTGCAATAAAATTCACAGGTGGTACAAATTGTGGAATTGGTTGTACACACGTCTCGGTTACAGAAGGAACACTTTGATATGCTCTAATTTTTAAAAGACATGAAGTCATTTCATTTAAATAGTTGAATATATCATTCATTGTTGTTGGGTTAATAATTTTATGAAGACTGCCTAGGATACCTAAAAATCGACGCCAACAAATAACAACTGATTCATGAGTCCATCCAAGAGCTGAGCCACCAGCAAGAATACAGCGAGGTAGATCTGCTGCGTCGAGTTGATCGTTTGATGCAGTTGAAGGTAATTTTGAAGTCTCATTAGTAGCTAATCAAAAGACACAACGTAAGAAGTGTGTAATTACGTTGGAATTCAAGGCATTATTAAGAAAATCTTTTGTATAAATGTTGAAAAAATTCTTAACTACGATTATATATATATATATATATATATATATATATATATATTCTGAAAATAATAATTACAGAATATTATTAGTATAGGGTTGTGGAGATTGTTCAGTTTCATTGAAGTCATGAACCGATTAACGTTAGAATATCATCAAAGACCTGGAAGCACTGGAGGGTTGTTTCGTCCTGGTATTGAGCTCCTCAGCAGCGAGCATCTACAACCCCGAACGAGGGACTCAAACCCAGGACCTTAGGTGTCGCGCGCGAATGCTTAACACCTAAACCATTGAGCTGGCACCCAACGGTGTTAATATGTAACTGCAACCAATGAACGATATTGCGCGACGAAACGCCCATCCAGATTTTCATTAGTAGTCAAACATTGATTGGTTCATGATTTCAGTAAAACAGTATTATTCGACACGGTATAAGGAAGTACAATGAAGAATTATAACTTACTGGAAGCTACTCGTGAAGGTACAGTAGTCAATGTATCTTTGCGATTTGGTTCTAACGTGGAATGTTCATCACTTAGTATATCACATGATCTAGGAATATCTACAAGGTATTAAAACATGTATCAAAATATGCGATTCAAGATGTACCTGAATGATATTTTTTTAAAGTTATGATCGATAACATAGAAAATCTTGAGAAAATTACACTGGAATACAAACTTTTGTATCTTTTAATTAAAAATGCAATGACACTTAATGGAGAGGATATATCAGATGTTGATTTTATACATTTTGACTAAATCGTACAGAAACATAGATTTACAATGTTTGTCTAATATTATCCTGTACACAAAATAATCAATGAACCACAAGAGAACCTATGTATACTTACAGACTTTCAAAAAGACCCATATAGGCTGATCGATAAAATACAATGCTTATCAGAATGCAAGAAAACAAAAATTATTAAGCAGCTGAATGGAAAGTAATGGGTTGCATGGTGTATCTAAAAATCCATAGACCTGGAAAACTTCATATTCTAACACAGAAATGAACAAATAATTCAAAAGATCAGAAACTCATTTGATGGCTTGCTCAAATAATTGAGTCTATAAGGAAAACAGCTAGCTGGAGATAAATTTAAGGGTCACTGTTATAGTGATGAAAAATTTATGAGCAAAGTATGTAGCCTCTTTGAAAACAAGGTCATTCTTTACAAATATTTTGTTATAAAAGATTATTACAGTCAAAATTAGTTATGTTGCCACTAAGGTTGGTTATCGGTAGACCATTATTGAGCGACCACGAAACTACAAGTTGGAAGTCAGCAGTTCTTAAGTAGTGAAAAAACGGCGATTTTAACAAAAAATCGATTCGGAAAAATTATTCAATGATTTTAAAAAACAAATGCTCATTTGAATGCAAAGGTCAGGTTTGTGAACATGGATTGCAATGGCTTCCGCAATGTGCAAGAGGCGCACTCATAAACCATGTGGAAGATTAGATGGGATATTGTAGATAACCTTAAAAGCTTTATTCAATTCGACTTGATGACCTGTGTCAACCAAGTGAGAGAGAATAGAACTTTTAATCACTTTTACCTGTCCTTTGTTTAACCACGACGGATGATGTTCAGTAATGCGATGACGGACTTGCTGAATTGTTCGCCCAATATAACTGGCTCCACAGGAGCAGTTGAAACGATAGATACACATAGATTTGGCGAATTCAGGCAGTCTGTCTTTGTTGGCTGTTCTTATTTTGGGATAGTTGTAGAAGATGGCATTTAATCTGGCAGCATTAAATGTTTTTTGTACGGCTCTTCTTAGTTTCTGAGTCAAGATTTCTTCAATGGTGTTATTTATGAATTGTAGTTTTATGAATAGTACCTTCTTATGGACGGTGGGTATCTTTGTCCTTGTTTTCTTCTCCATCATATGTTTGTCGATGAATTTCATGGGATACCCATTCACAAACCTGACCTTTGCATTCAAAAGAGATTCGTACAACCACTTTCTCTGCCCTGGCCATCAGTTTAAGATTTCCTTCAAAATGCTTATTTATTTAAATGATAGTTAACCAAATTATAAGTGGTAAACATTAAGGACCCATACAACACTGAGTAAGGATAGTTTAAAAAAGGTATTTATTATCATTAGATTCAAGAACACTATAGTTTATTTCAAGTTAAGGAAAATCAATATAATTACTACTGAAAATTAAAAATATTTAAGAGAAACTTCATTGTTTTGTTAACCCAAGTAAAAATTTACAAAATTGAACTGAATTTAGATTTATCTAACTGTGGGTGCTGCCTTGTTGTGGTGTTCTAGCTTGCATATGGTGATGACCAGGTTGAGAGGTAAACTTATGATCTGGGGGTGAAGTCTTATTCCTAACTGTAAAAGGGTATGAAGGAATCATGGCATTTCCTTTAGGCGACCAGTATCTTCGCCAATGACGCTCCCACAACGAAAACAGGGAGAGGTGGGAAATGTTCGGTATAAAAACAGTACACTTCACCTAGCCACGTGTATCACCGTCGTTAAGGCGGTATAAATATGAACACAATACAACTAAAGGTAATCACAAAAAGGATGTATGTGACCGGCCATAAGCAGTTGTGGTTTTGGTCATTGTTACTAAGTTGTCAAGACCACCTCGTAACTCGGTTTCCTCGAGAAGAATCCTCCTTCCATGAAGTGAGAAATGACAAACACACCCGACAATTTAGATGTAGGTGAATGATTAACATCTGCTATATCATGCATGACAGACTATAAAATTCATAACTAAGTAAATTTAATTGCAGGGACTTGATTGTAGCTATATTTTCGATGACAATATAATTTAAGTTGATGATGCTCATCATGAATGACAATTTTTGTAATTATTTCTAGTCAACTCAAGTAAACAGTTGAAATATGATGTATTCAAACGTGAAACTAGAATTTATAACACTTCAAAAATCTCAATTCTGAGCAAACGGTACAGTATATAAATAACTAACATAGCATCAATCTAACTCACCTCAGTACCGTAATAATACTTAACGAACACACCTTAAATAATACTAATCATACAAATAAAAAGAAACAACTATCTTTACTTACTTGAAGTACCTACATCAATACTTTCATCGAAATAAGTTGTCACTGGACTCTGAGGTGAATCGAGATCAAACTATACAAGACATAAATGGAAAACAAAAATTTATGCAACAATGATGAATGGGTAAAATATTCTTTACGAATGACAATGTATTGATCACAAAAAGAAATGATAGAAGTAAGATTTATTTAAGCTGTTCATCAATCACAACACTACTTTGCACATTTAACCATCACATTACACTATTTCTCATGAATATAAATTACACAAATATTAGTTGGCACATTGAAAAGTATATCAGTTGACTTAAAATGAAACAATAAACAATGCAAATCATTACACTAAATTTTATATTACAACAACAATACATGTGTATTAAGTATAAGATGTTTAGTAAAAGAAAAAGAAAGAGAACACTTTAATCAAAATACCGACTACACAGTGAAGACTAATATTTGTTTTTGTTATAGATTTAAAAAATCATTGGATGAACAAGGCTCGTAATCATTTAAAATGCACAGAATATTAATCAATAGATTAAATATGAAACAATGCAACCGAGCAATTAGTGTGCAGGAGATCAAATTATAGACATAAACCCCAATAAAACGATACGAAGACTACCGTGTTTATACATAAAATTCTAACGAAAAAAGTAACACGACTCAATGTTAAAAACGACTGAAAAAATTGAGTTTTGGGGTGGCTAATTCTCCAATAAATAATGGCCTGATTTTTAAGCTTGAAGCATGAATAAATCAGTAGATACAGAACACGGACTACATATATAGTGGGGAATACTCTGACAAGATGTTAAGTTTTTAAAAAAACATTACTTTGCTATCTGTATTAATATTATTATCATACGTACTGCTGGCCCCCAAATGCCCTGGTACGGTCGAGAGTGAGAAGAGTCAATTCTCCCTCTCGAAATGTTTTCACATGACCACGTGCAAACAACCACTGCCAGTGAAGTCTTACTGCCTTCTTGCGTCACGTGTGTTTATGAAATTTAGAGGACGAAAAGCGAATATTCGGCGCTTTAACCGGGTTGGTGGTGGGTACGGAGGGTCCATCTAAGGGAGTTGGAAAACCCTGATTCCAAACCAATGATGCACGTCGGCTCCAACATCCTGGAGAAACAAAAGGCATACAAACCTATTGTTGGTCACCGGCTACCATGGGACTGCATTTCCTGAGGTTGCTCCACTGCCTTGTATATCAGACCTTTAGGTCAAAGGCTCCGAGTGTGGCCCCCTAAGAAAACCCTCTTCTTCGGTTTGGGCACTACCCGAGCCTTCACACAAATTGAATGATTTATGTGACGCATATCTATTTGGTGCCTTCTTGTACCAATGTTTAAATAAGTACTACTTAAGACATAAGCTAGTTATAATATGAGTGAGAATAAATCAAGATAATCTTAGGCTATGATCTGATTGTACTCCTTAAATATCGGCGAATTCCAATTTTTGTTGGTGATAATCAATGAAAAGCTTTCTAAATGAACTTAGGTCATCAAATAAGTTAATGAGAAATGAAGAGTAGCCGAATTCAAAACTAAGTCTTTCTAAAGTTTCAGTTACGACCAAGTGACAACAAGTACTATTAAGAATAAAACTAAAGTATAAGCAATTCTGATGTAAAACTTTACTGTTTTAATTTAAAGCTGATCTCAAAGTGTAAATTTTGAAACCCATTAATTTCATGAAATATGACTGAAAATATGTTAAACTTTTGAAATCTGGCAATTATATCTTAGTTTTGTAAACTTGTAAGGAACAATAATTTGGAAAATACTTAAGCAAGCGTATGCAAGCACTAACAGATCATCATTTTTACCTTTAAAGATTCATTAGGAATTTCTTCCCCTGAAGCACAACTGCCTGTATTGAGACCATTTTGACTCAATGAAAGGGAATCTTCTAAACAACTAATTGCAAATACCGTGGAACCCGAATGATGGACGACTGATGCTTTTTCGGAGTATGTTTGTTGTTTATCATCAGTAAAAGACATACTTACAGGATGAGAAAATCTGCCTACAAGAGCTGCAGTAGATACGGTTGTGAGCAAATTAAGTGAGTCAGACAAACGGTGATGGCTAGACAACTCAGGATGTAACTGACAATCATGATCATCCCTAGTAAGACGGCTGAATCTCGGGTTACATGAAGACTCCATAGCTTGTGGAGTAGAATGATGATTCTGGGAGTAAAAAGTAGATGTATTAAAGTAAGCTTAAAAAATATATACAATATATCTGTTCTACAATATATATATATATAATAACTGCTTTTCGACAACTGAAATAGAAAAAATAACTGAATTGTAGTGAGTATTAACTTGTACCAAGAAACATATATAATCTGCAAGCAAAGATGTAGTGAAATTAAAAAAATTGTTATAGAGTCGCAAATGAATTAATTACTGTCTACGAAAGTATTAAAAGAGTATAATTAATTAACCTTAATTATAATTCTTTTTGGGGTATCTTTAATCAGTTAATAAACTTAAAGCATGAAAGTGGGCTGATTATTTAGCCTGTTAGTTAAATAAGGAATTAGATATGGGATTGTTTTCCATATTGATATTTTAGAAACAAAACAGACTTGTGTATAATGAAAGTATATAGACAAAACTGTAGTATTAGGATCAAGATCTCATTTACAGTGACTCTACGTATCAGCAGTTCCCAGAACAAATCATCTGTTCTTTTCATGATTGGCTAATTTCAATAAACAAACAAACAGATAGATAAATGGAGACGAAATGTAGAAAAAAAGTGCTTCGGTTCAAGTTTCGAAAATTCTCAAAAACACAGTAAAAGAAAATGAACTAAAATGAAGAAAATACAGAAATAGTGATGTAGGTCAAGAACTAAAGATAAATAAACGGTTATTTATTGCTCTAGGTTGCGAAACGTCAGAAATTCAATCTTCTAATCACTGGTGTTTTATATGTATATTACCATACATCGTTTTCTTTATTATAATCAAGAATGATTGAGATTTGTAAGATAAATTGTGACTACGAAAGAACCACTGTGATAGACTTTTGATTACCATCACATACTTAATTATATGGATGAATTCCATTCAAACCAATAACGGGAGAGTTTTAGAGTAGTTTCTTCTGATGAGTAATGACTATTGCCCTAGAGAAACATAGGATATGAAAACTACTTATTCAGTTTCTATATCGAATGTAGAGAATCCCGTAGAGAGTTGAGTAAAAATAAGTCATCAACAAACAAGTATGATTCAAGTTATCATTTACAGAGATATAAATGTCTCTACAGAACCCAACGTGAACCGGTTTGGGATACTGAAATGAAGATTTGCAGCTTAGTTGGATCCTTTCGGTAGTGCTAAGTTCTTTGAGCTGGACAGTTCAAATGCGGAGCTTTTATTGTCATTCGGAGTCAAGTATTGACTTCGTACGGAATAACAATCGGACATATCGCTCTAGGCTTTTGTCATAATCAGATTTCACCTGTCACACTACTACTCAGATACAAAAACTACCCGAATATATCGAACAGACTAGAACCAAGAAAACAGTTTCCTATCAAAATTATTATATGAGCTTAGCGTAGAACACATTTGAACATGCTTTTTGAAGTTAACAGTAAAAAATGGAAGAACTAGGCCATTATTTCAAAAAATGTTTGTACATGAATTATTATTATTACCAATAAAAGTGTACTTTCGAAAGTGAAATAGGAGAATGGTATTAATGATGGGAAATCTAAATCTATTTTTAAAACAAAGTGAAATAAGAAAAAATGGAGGTAATCATTACCTTAACAACTTCCAGCGTGATTTCACTTGTTGCACGTCTTACAGATGACATACGTCTACTTTCTGATATCGATATTTCACTTTTAACGGTCACATTAAATCGCTTTGATTCATTTTGATTTGATAATTCATGAGAAATAGACCGTGAACTATGCAGAGCATGATTACCATATACCTCTGTTAAATCATTACTTAACACCTGTGAATTCGACTCATCATGAGTGCCATTAATTGAAGATACATTAGAAGAGATATAGCTATGCACTACATTACCATTACTATTATTATCCAATGCATAGTTTTCAGAGGATCCAGGGTCAAAAGTCCACTTTTCAATGCATGGCCTGGTATTATTATCATTTCTTGATGCTTTCAGTTCATTATACGTAGCAAACTGTTTTTGTGAATTCTCCTGTGATGATATATGTAGTTCAATGGAGTCAGTATTTAACGCCAAATTATCATCGTCGAGTGAATTTTGATGAATACTTAAAACCGATAATGCACTAGCATAAGGCGCAGGAGGTGATGATAAAACGGTTGCTAAACTACTGCTATTATAAGCAGTAGTAGCAGTAGTAGTAGTAGCAGTAATATTAGTAGTAGTAGTAATAATAGTATTGTCATTATGATAATTCAACGCTGCTTCAGTCAATGATTTCGGTCGAGTTCTAGTAGCTGGATTAGTAGAACCTGTAAACAAATACAAAAAGAAAACAAACAGGTGAGTAAATACACTTCGCACATACGTAACATCAGACCAATCAATTACGTAACTAACACGTCATAGATTTGGTGAAAAAAAGGTGGAAAGTTTGTAAAAATTACACAAAACAAGAAGAATCTATATTGCAGAATACAATGAATTAATGTTGTATTGAGGTGGTTTCTCTTCAGCTAGATGTATATGCTTAGTTACTTTTCATTTAATAAAAAAAATGTGAAATTCAAAAAACGAATTGTCCATCAATAGGGAATAAGTTGTTTCAAAACTATACAAAATTAAAAATTAACGATTTTAGGTGGTATTCAAGATTGCTTGAGGTAATAGTTCACCTGTTTATTTCTGAATCTTTCAGACTAGTTTGTTACATTGCACAAAATTATCTTAAAAATATTCTAGAAATATAGCCCAAAGCAAATATAAGAACCTTGATAAAACTAATCCTTAACTTCAATTCCATTCAAATAAAAACAGTATGTTAGATTGCATATCCTTTCGTGATCTTAAACTTTCTTTTTGTCACTCGTAATCCATTGTTTTTTTCCAATTCCCAGTGATCTTGAGTGCTGTTAGAGGTATGAGGGTGGTTTATACTTCCCGGTTGCTCACACCGTGGAAGGGTTCTCCTAGAGGTACCTGAAAAGGAAATCGGGTTACAGGTGGTCTTAGTGACCTGAGAGCGTGACTACAGAGCCCAAGGCACAACTGCTTGAGGCCGGTCACACACTGTCTTGTTGTGAATAATCTTCGTATTAGTTCCGTACTTGTTGGAAGCCAGAAACGGATATCCGTGGGATAGGGCGAAATGTGCATTTTTAGGGTCGACCTTTTCCAACCCCACCCTTCCCTTGTGGGGAAAGCAGCATCGTTTTTATGCTGACTGTCTGAAGGAAACACCTTACTGTTGTTACACTTTTGTACAGTCAGCAGTACGACTTCGCCCTCGGACCTTGGGTTTGCTGCTTTTAGTCCTACAGCTCTTCAACCGATTTGTCTGGCGTGGTAGGAACTTGACGAACGATTGTTAAGGCCAGTATAGTTCGATTGGTTCATTACGATAGGCAAGCTAGACCACTACGTCAATACTAATCAGCCACTATTACAGAACTGTTCTCAACAGCTATCAAGTGGACAATTTATTTATTTATTTGAACACAGGTACAAGGGGGGCACCAAATACATATGCGCCACACAAACCTCATTTGATCTGCGTGAGGGCTGGGATACTGCCCGGGTGCCCAAACCGAAGCAGGAAATGGACAATTATGTTCACCTTACCGCTTTCATTAGGCCATCATCATATAACTTCCTTTTAATATTTGATTTTCATAAACAATTCATGACAAGAGACCACTTCAGGTTTTTTTTAACTTATCCAACACTATCCTTTTACTACATTACTATCATTAGCAAATAAAATTAACTATGAATATAAATGTACAGCTTGAGTAGGTGAAAATTTTCTTCATTGAACGGTCTTTATTATTTAACTTGCTCTCCGTTGATATACAAATTCCGCAATATTTTACTAACTGGAAATAACTAAAATTATTACGCTGAATGTATAACTTAAACAGGAGGAAACAAAATACAACTTGAATTCATCATATTTTGCAAATAATATTGTTTTTTTCTACCTTTTGTTTTAAATTTTTGAAGAGAACCACTGACAGGAAATAACTATGCCATTGAATTTATGCATAATAAAAGCGGTAAGATAATCGATATCATTACATTTTTCTTAGAAAAAACAAATAATTAAATAAAATTCAGCTCAACTACAACTGTAGTGGACGAATACTTAGGTGGAGATAACCAATTTGTTGTTTAATGAAAAATTACGGAGTGTCTTCGAGATTTATAAAAACCGTACATTAAATGCATAATTTGCACATCTTCCATCAGTTGTCTTTTACATCCTTCATGATTTTTGGAACTCTCAATTCCTTTATGTTTCGTTTTCTGTTTGTTTCAGTTCAATTTCCTTAACCTTCTTTTGATAAGCACTCCATCTGATCGGCGCCACATACTACTTATATCTATAAAATCAGTAGCATACACCACACTACTACTAATAAATTCAATAGGCGATATGAATGCATTATTTATTCAGAATTAAAAAGGAACAACATAATTCATATACGTAATATTTCGTGATGTTCCCACTTCAGATTCATTTGCTATTGTTTATTTTATTTTTTTTATTTTTTTGGGTAAATTTAGATTATTTTTTGCTCACCATCACTGAATTCCTTATCATGATCATGAACATTAGCTTATGTCCCATAAAAGTTGTGTAAATAGTAATAATTATTATTATTCGGGCGAAATAGTAAATTAAATGGATAGAAAATTATGAGATGATGGTTGATTTGCCCATTTCCTATACCTACAACGTCTATGCATAATCAATTTATATAGACATATGTGTACTTATAGAATAAAATTAAATTTGAAAAATAATTTATTCTTTGAGTTTAGCTAAAGAGGTAATGAGAAATTTAATAATAAAAATGTAAAACACTTTACTAAACCATACATATTTGTAATATGCATGTGTGGAGTTAATTTACATGAACTCTCTACTTGGCTTGTACAATATCTATCTATTTGTCTATCTATTCATATTTCATTTCTAATGTGATAGTACACTTGAACGATAACTAATAATAGCACAATGTAACACGAAATGTACGAACAATTTAATTTGTTAACTAGTTGTTATTTTGAAAGACAAATAAAATAGAGATGTGTGGATTGCACAAATTGAAAATACCTGCTAAACGCTTAATTCGAGGTCCTTTCTTTTCTTGAGGTAAATCTGACAAATCTACACCATATACCAATTTAGACATTGTACATGTTAACATTCGCATAACTTTCTGTTGGATAATAATAACAAAGAGAGAAGAATAGAAAGGGAAAAAAGATATCGAAACCAAAATAACGAAGGTTTTAAACATAATATGACAATCTGTCAGCTTCGCTTATAATCTTTTTCTTCATATATTTCAGGAGGTCGATGATCAAGTATATCGTAATTCATATACGTGAACCTGATGTGGTTGACCTAAATGAATAATGTTGTGATTTGTTGAAGTTGTTGCAGCTACTATTATTATTGTGAACTTTTCTGTCCTAGTGTTATGGTGCTACTTGCAATGTGACATCATTATCATTGTCAACCAAAGACACTATTATTGATTGTACTTTCATTTCTGTAGTGCGCAACTACATACACATGACTCTGTAAACTAACATATCGTAGATCACTAGTGTCTATGTCATATTCCGTAATATACATACATCTATTAGCAAAAACCTTTTTCCATAAAATATCATTACACATTTATGTTTGCCTTTCCTTTGTGTTTATTTTTGTAGGCATGTAATCTTATTTTCCCCGATTTGTTTGACATACCAGTGTTACCTCCGGACACTGTGGAGAGCTATGTGGAAATAGTTAAAATAGACATATTTTGTAATTAGTTTTTGCCACTATTTGCATTTCTTTCATTAATTCCCGGAATTTGTACAATTACATTTATTGACTGTAAAATTGTTCTTTGTAAAAACATAATCTTTGATCTTCCGTTCCATTTTTGAGCACCTCATAGCATGACACATGGATTCATGTTCACAGATATACTGCTGCACACATACGCTTCTTGTTCTCAATTATCTGCTGTTACGATAGTAGAACTCTAACACATATGCTGTTCATGTTTACAGATCACAGTAATATCCTCATTACATGCTTTATGCGGATGCACATCTCGAATTATACCTATTATAGTTGGAATTACTAACTAATAATTGTAGATTAAAAGACCAAACGAAACTCGAACACGCATATCCCTGACAATTTATATGATAGTGTATATCCGCTTCGATATGAGGTTTCTCCAAAAACAAATTCACTTAAGAGATCGACGACACTTCAGTTATAACAAAAGGAAAATAATAATGTTTTGAAATATCTTAATCCAACATATTTTATATTAGGAAAAAAGCTACTAAACGTCGCATTGTATGAGTGAGCTAGTGCATAAACTTAGACACGTGGTGTTTTGTATGATGACTACTTAGCCTTCAACTTAGATATCAAATTCATAGGACAGTATACTAACATGAAAAGACGCAATGCCGTGGTAACTGACTACTAAATCAGGTTTATGTGGTTTTCTTTCATTTGGGATCCTACAGAGCATGTTCATCATTAGTTCGCCTGAAACTAGTTTTAGAAATCAACCAGATGGACCCCTTCCTACCAACAAATTATGCTCTCTCATTTCGATGGACACATCTCAGTCACGTGGAAGGACTGCGTGGGACAATTCTGTAAGAGGTAAGATCTCCCCCATTCTTGTTTGTACTAGGACATCAAAGAATAATACAATAGTTACAGATAACTGAGATCCTTTCCTTTAAACTGTTACCGCTCGTGGAGGAGCATAACCCTCCTACTAGGATTCTTCATCGAACTCTGTCCTAGGTACTCCTTCCCAGTTTTTTCCAATTGCTATTGAGGTACTTAATTGAATATGATAGAAACAGTAAATATAAACAGGGATTTCTACTACTATGTAACATACTTTCCATTCGATTATCAGTGATGGCCAGTGACTTAACTGAGAGTAAACATTTAAACACTGGTCCCATGACTCTGAAGATATTGTAGAAAATAGAGATGCACGCAATAAAGCACCATTTAAAGTCTACAAAGAAGGAAATAGATTTATGGGCTTTAATTCTACGATATATACCAAAATAAAAGATACAACCAAATGTAAGTTGATGAAAGCTCATTAGAACTACTTCTACCAGAATGAAGACAATGGTAAAATATTTACGGAACCAATAAACGTAAAGATGATAGCAATTTTACAAAAACCCTGTTTTACATGTGGCTATCGATTTTACATAGTCCCTATATATCTATGAATAGTCACCTTCGAAAATGATACAGTTTGGTTAATAAACATGTAACAATCCATCGAATATTCTCCATAGATGAATGTATGAAAGAATAGTGTGGTAGATCTATAAAGAGGTATTCTGTGCACACTCTGCAAGCCATACTTACAAGAAATGGCAACGTAACGCGTGGTTCCAGTTAACTCTAATGTATCGGTACCCTTGATATAATAAGTAGCAGGGGAAGATTACGATACACTCTAATACCGAGATTTAATCCATTTGACGCTTTTCATTAAAAATCAATATCACGAAGAGAACCAGTATAGGGTTGTGGAGATTGCTCGGTTTCTGGGTTCGATTACCGCGAGCAAGATCGGGGATGTGCACTGCTGAGGAGTTCCATACTGACGAAACGGCCGTCCAGTCCTTACAGCTTCTTAATCGTGGTCTAAAATTGATCGATTCATGATTTCACAAAGAGAATGTTAAATACTAAGAGAGATGCAAGTAGGCAGCTTGAGAGGCTAGATCTCAGGTCGCATACCAGTTGAAAGTGAATATGGAGCAAATAAAATTAACGGACCCTGTTATTTACTAATGACACATTGCAAATTCGATGTAGTAACAATTAAAACTAGTAATCTAGATAAAATAAAATGTTTGCGACAACCTAGTATTTATGCTCTAATAGAACCACAGTAAACAATTATTTGCTATATTTTCTTTTGAAAACTGAAAATAACGTTGCTGTACCTGTGTTTAGTGCTTCATAACTCATTTTGCTGCTCTTTTGTTAGGCAAAAATGTATTTCAACTTGAAGCACAGTTGAGAATGCGTTTACTAAATTACTTTCAATCGACCGACGTAGAGAAAAACTAACCGAGTAATAATATAAGTATCTCTGAGAATTATGCCAATAACTGTCATATAGAAATCAGTGAATCCGAACAATTGGCACAATTTCCGATTAGTTGGATTACGAGTTTTATTTCCGTCTAATAAATTAATTAGTTTGGACTAATAGTTAAGATTGAACTGATATGCTTACATGCACTACATAGATTTCTAAGTGTTAACAGAGACATATGGGAAAAATGAGGTCAACAAATTAATCGTAAATTTAACATGTTGCAATAATATGAGACTTTAAGCTTTCCTACAAAAGGAGCACAAATTTTATAGTACAATGTAAACAGCTATCAAGATATCCTACCTGAAAAAGATTCTGTGTAAGTTTATTGTTTGATAACCATTTGTAATTCTGAACATTATTTGGCGAAGTATTAATCATTGTTTTGCGCATGATATCCATTAGGATGGACAATAATTTAGACCTAAAATATGAAAAGGATGATTAGACTCATGAAGTATAATCGACTTTTAATACGTGGGCTATGTAGATCATTGGAAAAACCAAGAATCTTAATTAAAGAAACTTAACTAGAAACCAAACACCAGGCTAATAAGATTTAAACTACTTGTTCCAAATACAGAAGTTTTGAAAATACCAATGATTTATAAATAGATTAATCCAATCGAAGAGATGTTTGGAGAATTCACGGTTAAGGATGTGAATGACACAAACAGATAAAACCTAACTATAAAATCCCATCGAAATTTCCTTAGGAAACGTAATGTACGATTTCACAGAATTTACTAACAGTACAGAAAATTCCTGTCTGTAGGCTTTAAGCTTCATATCAAAAGATATGATTACTTGAAAATCACTTATATCAAATGGTAGTAGGGTCATCGTTGGATTGAAACAGTCTGTTTACATAACTGATACAATACACTTCAAGAAAGTGAAATGATCGTCTAGTGTTCAAACCATTACAGTTTGGTCAAGTACCAGAGTTGATTAGCACGAGTAGTTTACAACTAATCATATTGGTTAATGGTGTATGACATGAAATAAAAATTTTAATACGTTTGAGATGTTGGACACAAGGCAAAGTATTCATATTTTTTCAGTATGTTACCGCTTTAATAGTTATCTGAACTGACCAACTACACAATTAGGCGTTTAAGTATACTTCTAAAGTTGTTAACTGAAGGACATATTTCTGTTTTGTTGCATAGTGTTTTCTAACATAACCAACATGTGATTAAACAACTGAGCCTGTTTACGGCAAACGTACGAGATTAAGAAAAAAAAGTAATAATTTGTTCCTTTTTTTCACACGTAAAATGCAACCATAACAACTTTTTTAAAAGTTTATACTGTATACTTACCAGGTCTCTGAAGTTAACTCATTACTGTTACTAGCAAATTGAAAAATCTGTAACACTAAACGGCATAAATCAATTTGATATTTTGTATAATCTGTTCCAGTTGTACTGATTCTGTTTGTATTTTGTGATTCCGATAAGTTAGGATTTAAACTACTGGCATAAAATATATTGGCCATATTTTCCAGCATAATCTACAGGGTGTATGGGTGTGTTATACAACGACAAACAACATCAAAAAATAATTTAAACAAATAAATAAAATCAATAAACATAAACAAAAATTCACTAATTGATGATTGAAGAAAAAGACTCAAAAAGGTTAGTAAAACAGGTGTGTTTGTGTTTCCGGAACACTTTTCGAGATTACATAACGTAACAGACAAATGACATAACTTAGTTGAATATACAGTGTGAATACGTTCTAAGAATATATATCAATAAGAAGTTTAGTAAGTGGTTAATAACTGGACAAACGAATTTGGATAACGATGGCATTAGGGTAAAAAGGATAGTAAATGTGCTGATTAACTATTTCAATCCGATTTATTGGATGCATCGAAGAACAGTATATGGTGATTAGACAAGAAATGAAGTTCTTGCATATTATAAGATTTCAACTTAATTATATATATATATATATGCCCCCAAATGCTCTTGTATGGCCGGGGGTGGGTTGAGTCAGCTGTCCCTCTCAAAATGCACTCACATGACCAGGCGTATACAACCACTACCAGCGAAGTCTTACACACTACCTTCTCGTAGTGGAGGTGTTGTTTACGAAATCGAGAGGACGAAAAGCGAATGTCCGGTGCCTTAACCGAGTTGGTGGATATGGAGGATCCACCTGGGGGTCGGAAAACCCTGATTACAAACCAATAGAGTACAGGATCCTGAGGGAACAAAAGGCATGTAAACGTATTGTTGGTCACTGGCTACCATGAGACTGCAACTTCTGACATTGCTCCACTTCATTGTGGATCAGATCTTTAGGTCGAAGGCTCGAGGTGTTGCCTCCTAAGAAAACCACCTGCTTCAATCTGGGCACCCGGGCAGTATAACAGACGTCACACAAACCAATGGTAACTGTTACTAGCCTCATTGTTATCGTGTGTCGCGTATGTATATCGTGCCCCCTTGTACCAGTGTTTATGTATTCAAATTATATATAGAAGGAATACTTATGAAAATCTCGAGCTTTAGAAGTCGGCAGTGACTGCAGTGGCCACATTGAAATAAACTATGAATCAGTACACTCTGTAATCTATCACCCTTAGATTACAACGACCTCAAATATAGATTATGATTATTAAGTAGTAATTCGTTATTAGTCACTACAGACATTGACTGGCGTACAAATATTAATGGTATATGTATGTAAGCATTCATCACAGAATACAGCATAAAACCTAATGAGAATGGACGAACGTTGCGTAGATCATTCAAGAAAACAGTTCACAGGACTAATAAACGATAGGAAAAACATCATACTCTGCTTCCGTGGTTTTGTATAAAAGCGTTCAAGGGCGTATACTTATGTTTATCGGGGTCCCGGACATACAAAAATTCAAACCCCTTTCATGTGCTCAAGAACAATCTGTTCTCACGCTGAACCATCTCTGGTAAAACCGTTTTATTATCCAGCGTGATGAATTTCATATTGCTATCCACATTATTTTCTTTATTATCTTTCTTTCTTTCTTTTTACCTTTCATTCGTCTAGTGGACCTTTTAACTTTTCATATATAAATAACCATAACAAGCATATGTGTGATCAGATTGTTAGAAAAGTATTGCGCTAATATATGTCAGTCAGTCAGTCAGCTACAACGTAGGACCAGGCTAATATATGATATAGTTTTGATAATCTTCTCATTATACTATTCAAACTACACTTATCGTTTGAGACTGGTAATGAAGTGTCACAACACTACCTTGATTTCAAATTACCGACCATCATTTTGTGTAGTCCGATCTTACAGGGTAATCATATACAAAATAAGCCAGTAGTTAGAGTTTGTGTTTTCAGTGCTGAGCAAAATCAGCTAAGGATCTCCAGGAAAACAGAAGTTTTCACATTTTTGTGAAGCAAGTCTTCCCGAAGGCTACAATAAATACCAGATTTTGTACTAGATAAAAACTTATAAACTATTACTCGACAGGTGAAATCTTGGAATATCCATTTAAAACTAATTTATATACAATAATGTCACTGGACTTAAAGAAGAAATATAATAATTTTACCATTTAAAGCAATCAATAATTTACAGAGAGGTCAACACATTCTATAAATTTAAGAAACTAATTATATATATGTATGGTAAAATAACTTAAAAGGTTTTCCAAGCAAATAGAATTTAAGCATCATTATTTGAAAATGGATATGAATAAATTAACTGTGTGCAAAACTTGGTTGCATCCTTAGTACAGGTTGCAACAATAAGTAAATCAGTCGAACAAACATAGGAAATCAATAATCATTATTGATCACTGAGATCTGCATGTAGATGTAACTAGAAGTGGTAAGCAAGTAAGTAAGCAAAACAAAATAAACAATAAATAATATTATTCTAAGGTAACTAGTGAACAACCAAGTTTGTTAATTAATTATTCAAATGTTAATGATGCTACAGCTAACCTGAATTGTATTCTGTAAACAACCTTTTAATTCTTCTGGATCATTGACGCCAACATCATCCGTAGATATAGTCACATCAATAGGACAATCTTCAATTTGCGACTGTTGAATTTGTTTAGGATCATTCATACGGCCATTCGTTTTAAACATTTGACTGTGTTCTGTTGAAGATGCGTTTACTTGTGGTTTCACTGGCTGAGGGTTTATGTAATAAGAAGAAAAATATTTTTTTACATTTACATGACTGGAAAAGTTTGCTTTTTTTATGAACGGCACTTGACAACCATATAATTATTGTAATATTTGTATTCTTAGCGAAAGTAAAATTTAAAATAAGTATTTCTTACGTACAGTATTGCATAATATAAACTGTACAATAATAGTGTAATATAAAGCCATGTACAACTGAAAATTACGTAAAATACCAGTGTATACAAAGTTATCCTGGGGAGCAAACAATAAGAAAATAATTTAAAATATCAATTATCAATTATTCTGATGCAGTAAAAGATACCTTTTCCTTAGTTGTTCAACTTGTTAGGGGACTAGAAACTGTGTCAGGAGGAAGCTAACACTGAGAAATGACTTCCAGTTTACGATGTTGTAATAATTGCAAGGTATTAGCTTAATAAAAAGCGAATTAAACAAACAAGACCAAAGCTTAGCACTTATTTAACCTAGTATTCTTAGGAATAAAAACTACAGTCAGTTTCTATAACAGAACATTTTTGAGTACTTTTTCAGTAGGTTAGTGTTCTTAAAAGCTAACAGTGTTTTTTTAATTTTCTTATGATGATTCTTTTAATGTCATGCTTAGAATGGACGAACAGTTGAACACTAATTAATATGTAAATATATTTGCGATAAAATCAACTGGTCTATTATACTATTAAAAATGATAGAAAACAGATATCAAAATGTTTAGAAAGAGGGAGATCAACAAATTTGAAACTAACCGGATTAATACATTTCATTGGACTATCTAAAGCTTGCATAAAAATTGGGCGATTGTGTTTGTTCTAAATTTGAACGACAAAAAGTAATAACAGTAGTTAGATATTACAGGCAAAGATTATTATATTTGTTACTAGCTAAAATGGTACTACATACAACCAGCTTTAACAGTTTAAGACAAAATATCAATGAAATCAACAATTCATTGAACTACATATATGGAGAGAGGTGGGAATTCCTACACAGAATAAAGGTGATTGTCAAATTATCACTGGTATTATACATTATTAGGCCTCGGTAAATATCCAAGTTGTATTGACAACTTTCGAGATATTCAATAGAATCGACGGAAGTGTATTTCAGAAATTGTAAACAGTAGTAAGAATTCATTTTTTTATTTTTTGAAACAAACCAGGATAGCTAGTCCCATTCTCAAAGTAATGAAAAAGAAGGTGTAAATACTTGGTAAGATTGATTAAATTTGGTACTCTGTACTATGACTATTCAGTAAACTTAGGACACTATGAAATCCATATAGAGACCTGGATTATTCCAATATGGCACACTGTTTTGCATCTAAGTACACTGAAACAATTTATGGAATGGTGAATTTTATAATTCCAATACATGGCTTTTTGTCAGACAAGTTATAAGAACAGCATTTCTTTAATGGAAGTCTGATATTAGAAAAAGCACTGAGCTGAAGGATATCGCATAAAAATATGACTGAAGTTAAAATGAGAGCAAGAAATGAAAACTTAAAAATGAATAGTTAATACAAGTAATTACAAGTTCAAGATAAAAAATTGTACATAATTAAAATCCAGTTGCAGCGTTTTGCTATGGTTTCATCATATCATACTCTGTAACTTGCTTTAAATCGCTACAAGCCTTGTGAATCTTAGCATAGGGACGTTATTCTATCTGAATGACACAAATAGTTCAAAACTATTGACGTCAGTCTTGATTTACGATTCTTTGGCCAACATTCGTTTGGGTTCTTAGTTATATAAGTTAATCGGTAGTACATAATGAACAGATTACATAAAAGCCGATGTTAACTAGAAATGCATCATTTGTTATCACATATAAACTAAGTTTTAAAGTACTTGAAAATGCTCCCAGGAGTTCGAAAATGTGACAACAAAATATATAATCTTGGAAATTGAATAAACACTTACTTCCAACCACGAACCATAAACTGTAACGATAAAGAAAAGAGCTTTGTGACATTCCAATGGAAGTAGCAATGCCTGATGTAAAATATCCTGTACCAAATCAATATTTTGTCTACATCCATATAACACTTCATGAACCATAGAAACCTGAAGAATAAAATTATTTGTAAATACGTTTAAATTGATGATCAAACAATCAGAAAAAATGTATATGACTTCCAATCATAATATTATGAATGATTTATTTCCTGGAGCTAAATAATTGCAAGGGCAGATTAATCTACAAGTTATATAAATCAAGCAATGGATCCAGTATTTAATTATGATTCAAAAACATTGATACCTGTCCCTCCTGAAGGCAATCTTATAGAAAACCATATGTAGAATGTAAAATTATTTTCAGCTAGATAGCATCTATCGAAAATTGATTCAGGCTCTTTCGTAGTTTCAATAAAAAATGAATAATTTTATTCGGGACTTTTTCACAAAAACTGCCATTTAATACGACTGGAATTCCAAACACAAATCTTCACCAGCACTAAAGCATTACTATTACTCCAAGGACTGTTTAAAATTCATGGTGAAATATTACAAGAATCTAAATGATGTCAAAGTTTGGTTCATGAATAATTAAGAGTGATGATAACTGGGAGAAAGGTAGTGGTTACGAGGACGGTTGCATATACACAACAAAGTAATACTATGAAATAAATCAATGCTAATAAGTGTAGCTGGTTGCTTTAATCAACGACTGATAACATTGGTTGTGTACAACTACCATTACTTCAAATGATTAACCTATGAATTCTTCAGCTCCCCTACCCTAGTAAAAAGATTATATTCCCGATAAACAGTTGAGTTTCTACGACACATAAAACCTTAAGTAAGAAGCGTCTGAGACGTAAACGAAATAGATATACGCGAGTAAGTGTTAACAGTCAGTGATAGTTCAATCACATCCTAAGTAAAAAACAAGATACCACTGAACTATTAGTCATCGGTAGGATAAAACCAGTGAGAGATTTACCAATTATGTAGCTTAGGGCACCAAAACATTTGCAGTTGGACAGCAAAAAGACTTTGAATAAGGTAAATTCATCCAATCAAACTACTCACTCACCAACAAATGTTAAAACTTTCTAATTTAAATGTTTACTTACGACTTTTTCATCGTAATTGAAAAATAGTTCAGTGAAAATAAATTTTTGTGGAAGTGGAGATGTTTGAACAGTGGAAGGAATTACAACAGTATCTTTGAGTAGATAACTGTTTGGTTTAGGAGAGAGGTTTGGCGCAGCCTGGTTAGTTGGTTCCTGGACAAAGTTCTCGTCGCCATTTCGTAGATAAACTGATGCTTGAACGGGTGGGGAACTCGAAAGTTTGGAGTAACTGTTAACCTTTGAATATGATCCAGATTCGAATTCACCATGACCAGGACAACCTATGAATGAGCGGAAATGTCGAGAAAGAAGAAAGTCGTTTGGATCACCATGTGTATCCCATGGGAAACTGCCAGCCAGGTTAAAAGATGGGCCAGTAGTACCAAATACAGAACCATGGGTAGTAAAATTTGAATCGAAGCCACCGTCTGAAGAGCTAAAAGGAAAAACATCCTGTTTAATAAATCTTACAAACTACATAACGTATGCTTTGCATAATTGATGAGTGAAAGTGAGAATGTCCATAATCCGTTAACACGGCTCATTATTTAAATACCACTCGGCCTTATCCACCCGTTTTCAACTTAAAAAAAGGCGAACTATGCACATGGCCCCAAAAAGCAAAAACTCACATAGCATGACTTGATTCCCGTGGACCAGTATATACAAAAGTTGCCAACCAGCAGGCGAATTCTAACTGATAGTAGGAAAGACGTGATGGATGGATTGGGTAATCCTGTAAAATATTTGAAGTTAATGGGACAGTGTTGTTCGCTTGGGATGAGATCGAGGGCGAATATATTGAGTATAAAGGAGATAAACTGTATATTGAATGGGAATAAAGAAATTAACAAAAAGATAACTCTAAAACTAAACAAAAATAATGAGTTTATAATATGCATACTTTGTAAAAAAACATTCAATAGCCACACCGCTCATAATAAAAAATAGTTCCTGGATTGAAGCATCCATGAAATTAACCTGAAAACAAAGAACAAAGTATTTGGCTACACCAATCTACTTCAGCATTTACACTGGTATCTGTGGAGTCAGTTGAGACCTCAAGAATGAAATTTAGGGTTTTGGGTTTATCAAAAGTTTATATTTTCTTAGAGTCATGGTTTACCAATTGGTTCTTCAAATTACAGTGGATAAAGTGGAGGTCGAAACAAAAAAATAAGTTAGACTTGTAATTCAATGGCGCGAGATTCTAAAGTTTTAGCTAAGGAAGCCTGCTGTCCTATTTGGCAAAGTGTTCGTACGTTAAAAGCTCCTACGTATAGTTTAGAGCGTGGTTTCAGGAAATCAGGAATGGCGTTCCACGTACTCGAATCGTTTGCCCTAGCGGTGTGAGGTGATAAAGAGACGTCAGGAGAGTTAGTCGGGGAGATAAGAGAGGTATTAGGAGGTGTAGGAAGGATTTGAATGTGACCACCTTGGTCTCTTGTGCTGTTACGGGTATGAGGGCTGATGTCACTTCCCGGCTGCCCACACCGTGGAAGGGTATTTCTTGAGGAACCTGAAAAGGAAATTGGATTAGTGTTGGTCTCGACGACCTGGGAGCGTGACCGCAGAGCCCAAGGGACAACTGTTTGAGGCCGGTCGCGCACGGCCTTTTTATGGAAGGTTTTTGACGTGTTAGCTCCGTTCTTCAAAGGGTAAGGTGAGGTGTGACATTTTCAGGGTCGACCTTTTCTAACCCCGCCCCTCCTTGTGGGAAGGCAGCATCGCTGTCATGCTGGTTGTCCGAGGGAATCACCTTACTGCTGTCACACCCCTCTACAGTCAGCAGTACGACCTCGCCCTCAGACCCCGAGTTGCTGCTTTTAGTCTTACCGTTCACCAATCGACCTGCCTGACATGGTAGGACCTTGAGGAACAGTTGTTCCAGCCAGTATAGCTCGGTTGGGTCATCACGATAGGCAAGCCCGACCACCGCGTCAAGGTAGCAGCTTCGATCGGGTTGGCCTCCCCTAACTTTTTTCCAACCATCCCCTACACTAGTCATCACTGCGCGTCGTGGTAATCGGTGTTCAGGCATACGCAACACGTGGCCCAACCACCTCAGTCGATGAAGATTTACAACCCAATCAACTGATTTACCATCATTCCCTAATACCCTACATCCAACCTCACTATTACTTACCCGGTGATCCCAGCAGATGCGAGCAATCTTTATAAGACATATGTGGTCAAATATTAGTAGCTTACGAATATCTTCTACTCTTAACGGCCACGTTTCGCAACCGTAAAGTAAAACAGAACGAACTGCTGAGCAGTATACTTGTCGCTTAATTGATAGACGGATATCTCGCCTTTGCCATAGGTGGCGTAAGTTGGCAAAAGCCAAAAGAGCTTTTCGAATTCGAGCTGAGATAGCTTGTAACTTGTCATCAATTACACTCTATCCAGATTTTTCAACTTGCGTAGACCTTATTCTACCAACAAAAAGCATGCATTAAGTGAAATATTGCTCTCCTCCTACACAAAAAACAATAACAGACAGAAAACAAAAGTCCAATTAAGCAACAGAACTTTTAAAGAATCTTTTCAGTAGTTTAGCCTATGAGAGGGACAGCATATATACAGAACTATTGATTAGAGGGCAAGTCATGTAGTTTTATACATAAACTACGGAAATTACGATAAATTATAAACTTCCAAACACTGCTTTGAGTACACTATTGGTTTAAAAATCATGTTGAGATGGTGAAGATTTTTAGCTCAGTTGGTTGATCTTGATAGAATTCTCTAGGTTGAATGGATTGATCATTGAACTATAATTGTTCTTTTGAATAACATGATTAGCACGAGATTCGAGTGACTTCTGTCTAAAGTCAGAAGAAAAATGAAAGCTTTTCGACTAAACCATCCAGTTCAGAGAATGAAGCTTCATCGGGTTGGATTGAGATACAAATTAGTCGAAGTTAATTGATGGGAGAAGAAATACTAGACTGTAACTTTAGAGGTCAGATCAACCGAGGTTTCTGAGGCTAAATTGAGACATCGGAAAACAAGAGATGATTTTTTCATTAAGCCAAAAAGAACTCATTGGTTACCACTCACTATATTTCCTTTTGTCACTGATAGAATTGGAAGAAATATGATAAATATACGAGTCTAATGTTTCGTGTAAGTCTACTGTAATGAAAATATAATCAACCAAATTACGATATCTCGTTCTTTTATAGTTTATTTTAGGATATCTGTCTTAGAAGATTGTTTCATGGCTATACAACGTGGTTCCTGATTAATAGGTATCATCTCTGAACCCTTTTACATTTACTTTAGCTCGTGCAGTCGGGAATTACTAATTTACAAACGAGACGTGACTCAAAGCCGAAAAATAACAGTAATGTATGTCACCTAGCACATGAATAATAGATTAAGTGACAATTATAAGTAACCAAGCTGTAAAAATCGACACGATTATTCAAACACAAGAACAATGGAAAACCACATGAGAACAAAACCCGAAAAAACGTATAACTACAGCACTATAACATGCTTGAATTCTTCAGCATAATAAAGCGAATTGTCAGCAGGTAATTTCAGATGTAAAAGACTTATGGCTACTGGCTACATAATTTGCGAATAGTACTTCAAATACAGTGATCGACCAAGAACTAGGAGACTTCATTCAACGTATCCTTGATGTGAAGTCATTCGGATTCGTCGCTAGTTTAGATATCGTGTTTGCTCCACAAATAAGATATTAACCACCAACTTAGCAGCATTTCAAACACCGAATTATACTTAGTGAACCGATGCACGTATGTGAAAGGTTCTACTTCGCAACTGACTGGCTGATTGTAATGTCAGGCGGTTCTGCCTTGTCAGTCAACCACAACGTAGAACCTAGTACGTTTGTACATCGATTCAAGTCGCCATAATCAATTAGTACGAAGATAAAAACGTCAGGCCAAAATAGTAGAGGTAGTAACAGTATCAGTGGTAATAGGAAAGATTAGGCATTGAAGATACGATTCGAGAAAATTTAAATTAGTGAAGTGAAAACGACAAAATGTTGAAATCTTGGAATTTGGAGGAAGAAAAATAGCAGATGCACCTGGACCATCCTAAACAATTTTCAGCTAATTTATTCAATTCTTTAACCGTTGGTTATGATAATCACGCGGACCCTAACAAGGTAGTCTATACCTAGTAACACGGCTTAGTTCGATTGTCAGCAATTTGATGGACTGATGCCACGTTTCGGTTTGGTCATCACCAGCTTTCTCCTACAGTACAAAGCATCGACCACCAAAGTGGGAATTGGTCGAGCATATGCAACATGTTTCAACCAACTCAGTTGGTGAAGACTTGCAACCTCTTCAATCGATCCGCCATCCTTACCTACTACTCTACTCCTAGCACGATCATTGCTTACTCAGTACTCCCAAAATACACAACTAATACTTCAAAGATACCTATGATTGAAAACCCATGAACTAAGAATGTCATTTATTCGTAACGGCCTTGTAGGATAAAAATACTTCTCAGAGCATAGCACGATCTACTGAGTAGGAAGTTTTTAGATCAATAATCATAAACTGTTAGACATGAGATTAGATTACTCACATTCTAAAACACTTACCATGGAAAAATAACGGGGAGGTACGAATGTTTTAACTTTTCGAACAGAAACCATAGCTGCATTAAATGCTGCTCATACCGAAGTTGCGACCACTCAACCTTGAAGGATTCTGAGACAAGGAAACGCAGAAGTGCCCGAAGCAGGACTAGGGATTTATCGTCAGACTACAAAATTATCAAGTTTAGGAGAGATCAAAACATTTACCGATTCATCCTCTCCTAGAGCAGCGGCAGTTAGGAGTGCGACGCGTTCGCGCGGGGCAACAACATTCGAGGATCTTGACTCTTGCATCACTTGCCCACGTGTATCTGTCGAGAATTTTCTAGCCTGAAGATGATTGTGCTTGAGCTGATCACATTTTTCACGCTTTTGATATTCTGCAATAAGTGAGCCAAATTCAGGGACCAGATTGTAGAAAAGTCTGTGGCAGACAGATGTCGCATTTAAGCCAAGTATTTGATACCATATTAAAAATAGCCTGATTCCCCTTTTACGGATATTGAGCGCATTCTTTTCGTACAGGAGATCTTCAATTACTTCAACTAGATGAAGTGAGTTACTAAAAACACAGAAAACCTACTGATACAGTTATGCTGCCATCTTTGGTGGATATGTTCCGGCAACAATAACAGTACTTTCTGAAAATAAGATCACTCAGAAAAAGATACCACCTCAAATACTGTAAGCACTACCTCCAAATCTTTAATGCAATTACTGCTTCCTATGAATTTGAAATGCCAAAAAACAACAATATACCCTTTAATTTGACATCCCACTCTAAACTGAAGAAACAATCACTAAACACTAGGAATATTAGGGACGAATTCTCAACGAAAAATGGTTGAAGTTCATCATCTGGTAGGGTATCTGAAAGATACATAGGTTAAATAAAACAAGTTTATTCACTACCTATCAGAATCTTCAAGTGCTTTATTTTATGAGTACTTTCTTTTTCGCTTAGAAACTTTTTCCTAGACTTAACTGCGCTAGTATCACTAGGCCTGTGCCTTCGAAACATAACTCAAGCCAAACATTCATTGCCTTTGAAAAATGCTCATTCAATAGGCAAGTACATTTGATGCATATAAAAAGCACTCAGACGATAAGATTGTCTGACACATATGAGAGGTAAGAATGTAGGAGTTTGACATATTCAAATGGCTCAAATGGTTCTGGACGGAATAGAAGAAGCTTTCGCTTAACGGGCTCCCGTGTCTAGTAGCAGTGAATCACCAATACCTCCAGGCAAGAACCTAGATATATTACCGATGAAAGAAGAAGAACAAATTGGTAGATCATAGTAAAGTACTATCCTTAGCCCTTAAGAACAACTCCAGTTTCCTCTTAAAAGACTTTTAGGAAGTCTCTTGGACTAGCTCAGCCGACAGCTAATTCCAGCATTTGACTACTCTCAAGAAGTACAGGTTGTGTCTACAGTCCGTTATGCTGAGTTATGTCACCATTTTCTGGTTGTTATCCTTAGATTTTTGTTGGAGCTCAGCTTAAATAAGTATTTAGGAGGATGTCAATAAGTGTTAAGGATACTGTAAGCCATTAGAAGATCACCCCTAAAAGACCTGTACTCCGATGGGTAGAGTTTCGGTGATTAGATGCGCTGTTCATAAAGCTTGAATTTGAGTCCCCGAACTGATTTCGCGGCTTGCTTTTAGAGTGTCCTTATCCTTTTGGAATGAGAGAGGGACGGATAAAACTGTTGAAGATTATGTGAAAGTTCTTCCGTTAAACTGGTCATTGCAAGGTTTGCTCGAAAGGCATTTTTGTCACACTTTGCGTTCTCAACTTGGGATACTTCTAGAGAGGAGTTGCCTTTATGGTAGCTGTAGTCTGCAACATGTCTCAAATGAACTACTTTACACTTTGAATGTTAAAGGTAAATCCGTTGTCGTTTTACCAACTTTGAAGCCGAGTGAGATCCTCCCGAAGTGCCAGTATATCCTCTTGGTTGATTATCTCTCTCCAAAGTTTCACGTCTTCAGTGAAAAGTAATAAGTCAGACGATACCTATTATGGAAGATCGTCTATATAAATCAAGAAAATAAGAGGTTTCAGTACTGAATCATGAGGGACCCCACTAGGACATTCCATAGAGTGAGAGGAAGTGAAGTTAACCCTGACCTTAGAACGTCGATTTTTTAGATATGAAGTGAGTCAGTCAATTGGAGGTGATTTGAAACCTAATCGTTTTAACTTACTGATAAGACATACATGGTTGACCCTATCAAAAGCTTTCGAGAAGTGGAGGTAAATTACATCAACCTTCCCCTTGCTATCAAGGATAGTTGTTCATATGTTCACCGCAGTCAGCAGTTTGGTTATACAAGAATGACCAATTCTGAAAACGTGCTGTTGGGGTGAAAAGTTTAAGGATAATATCAGGGACTCCACAATTTCTGAGGGTATAGAGCTACCGGTCGGAAGCTTGAAGGCTCGCTGTTTCAACCGTCTTCAAAAATTGGTGTGATATGAGCCAGATTCCAAATTTCAGGCAATTTGTCTCGGCTTAGCGAGTGCAAGAATAGCACGCTAAGAGGTGTTGCCAAGATTGAAGCTTCCCTCAGTATAGCAGAATGAACCATATCCGGACCAAGAGAAGTGTCTTATTTAGGTGTTGCAGATTCCGGTGCACCAAGTAAGGGGTCAAGTTCACTTTGGAAAGTCCTGTGCAGTTACAGATGAAACACTCATCATATAGTTACTGTGGTTCGGTTGAAACGTATGACAGTCCTGTTCGATCAGAAAGTTAGCGGCGTCACCGTCGTTGTTGGTCGGGCTATTAGGACCTAGCAGTTAGGAAGCTCCAGTTTTGATTTGTCGAAGAGAGGTTGCATGACAGAATAAGCTCTTCGGATTAGAGGCAAATTTATCGATAAGCTTCATCTAGTACTGAAGCCCGTCTTCTCTTATTGCATTTGTGCATAAGTTTCTTATATGGTGTATGCTGTATGTTGTATTGTCCTTGCTCTTGTTTCCAGTTCGTCTGTACTCTGCCCAATAGTGCTTTTTGCGGTCTAGCAAAAGAAGAGTAGGGTTCTTGATGACTATAGGTTGTTAGTAGATTTTGTGGACCATTTGAGGAGCAGACTACTTTGTAGCACATAAGATCATGTGCAGTAAGAAGTCTCAATAAACATCCACATCAAGTTGAGGGTGAACATCCCAATCCACCTCCTGTAAATTGTCTTGTAAAGCTGACACGTTCGACCATTTGAAATTCCAGCTCATGTTGGCGTAAAAGCTTTTCCTCAAGAGAGCCAGAACTGAGAGGTTGTAATTTAGAAATTCTCCGTTTGTAAATAACCATGACAATGTCCGACTGTTTCTCCAACGAGCTACCGATTTCACGTTTTCAGATATTCTCAGATCTTCAGTGAGGTTGAGGAACAGAGCTTCAGTTAAGTTTTCACCGCCAATGTACATATGTTCCACCAAAACGACTTTGAGAAGATTGAAGTCCCCTAGAGTCAGAATATTAGTGAATCCGAGACGATTAGAGCAGGATAATCCTTCCAGAATACGATTCTCGTACTCGATGTCGTCAATATGCTTCCAGTAGATGACTCCAACTAGACACCTCGAGTTTGTAGATAATCTTACTGAGGACCATATGGAGCCATCAAGACTGATGAACTCTTGGTTGTGTACTAGATGTACCTCTAGGTAAGTTCGTAAGAATAAGACCACTCCACTCACAATTCCCGTTTTTCTTTTATTGCTAAACAAAGGCATCCCGGGTACTGCTAGCTCCTGGCACGTAAATTGAGAAGATATCCATGTTTCAGATGAGCATTCTTAGCATTACTGAGTTCACATAGCTCATCCACTTTATTAGATAAACTCGTGGCGCTGTTTGTGCCTTCAATTTGAAACGCATGAGCTTCCCGGTCCTGTTTACCTGTATGAGCGTTATGTGAGTGGACGGGTAACCTACCTACACAAGACTTTCGCAGTCGGTAGACCCTATCCCTTACACGCTGCTTCTGTGTTCTTGACAGTCCAAAAGTGGAGTAGTCAGCTACAACTTGCCTTTGTGCTTGATCCTAGCATCATGTGTCCTAGCTGGATGCATATGTATTCCATTTGGCAGCCGGCTTCTGTTGGCAAAAAATGCTTCGTGGGTTGCAGCCGCCATGTGGTGGGATAAAAAGATAATCTTCATCGGCCGGGGTCTAAAATCTCCTTCGTTCTTGGCTAGTCTCGTTGCTTGTTGAGCCAATATATTTTTGAGCTTCAAAGACTGCTTGATGAAATCCAATCCCAAATATTACAGTTTGCGTGGTCGGATTAAGTGTTTTCCGATACACAATGATATTTCTTCCGCAGAAAGACCTCTCGTGAGATTCCTTAGGAATCTTCCGGATGAGATTGAGCTCAGAATACGGTATATCAGATAGCATTCTTATATTCTCATCTCATTTCAGTAAATAACTAGCCGGTGAGATGTTCTTTACGTCGGTAGCGTCACATGAAGTAGTCTTGGGTGAATTTGAAGCTTGGATTTCTTTTCCTAAGTGGGTCGTGAGGCTATCAGAGGCTCTATTTTGGGAAGCTCAAGCATCTTGTTTAATTCTTCCAAGAGCGTCCAGTCATTTTTGTCCTGCAAGCTGAGGGGAAGGTTAGGGCTGTCTTTAAGGTTCATGATAATGAGAGAATCACCAAGAACCGTGATTGTTTTCCCAGGTTTTCGGGTACGTTCAGCTTGAGGACCTTGTTGTTTGAAAGGTCTTTTTGTTGCGAAATACAAATCACTATATGGCTGAACTTCCTTTTCGAATATTTATTTACTTTAGTAGGTGATTTAGCGCTGTATTGTGATAACATTTAGGAACACTACTCCCAACTAAACCACTAACCCACATTTTGTACTTTGGAGACAGAAGTCCTTCAAGATAAGTAATTTATGCTCATTTATCCTTATGTCATGTATCTGATGAATTTTAAAAGCAACATTTAAAAGTGTAGGCACTTTTCTGATAGTACATTCAGTGAGATATTGGATTCAGAATTTTGTATTGGAAGCAGAAGACGTACATTCTGCCATAGCCTTTTCCCGGTACGTTTCTGTGAGTGCCTAATTTCTTTTTCAATGAGTCAATTGAATGGATGGACACCAATTCTTCGGGCAAAAGGTTCCAGGAACGGATAACTCGATGTATTTTTTTTCTTTCTTGTTGGTTTTCGAAATTTAGCTCTGTTTTATGGTTACCGTCTTAAGTATTTCGACCACGACACTAGTGAGGCTGACAAGTTCGTACTTTAATCGAAGTTGTCCTCATGCAGTTTTATTTACTAAAGAGACAATTTCATTTTTCTAGTCCGTAGGTAACACACCTTAATCAAGTGACATACTGAATATTTCCGAGGTTATTAAAGTTTTGGGCTTCCTGAACTTGCCTGACGTGTTCTGAGTTGTCCTACAATATGGCACAGTCCACTGTCAGTGACTTCATGGACTTGTGCCATGTTTTGGTCTGGCCGCCCCCAGCTTTCTTCCAACCTACTCTTATACCACTGAACATCGCACGTTAAGGCAGTCGGTAGTTGGGCATACGTAACACGTGTTGCATGGAGGACGTGTGTCTGTGCTCTAGAACCTGACGTAGTGTGAATGTCTGATCTATACAACCACGCCCAGGTCGAAAACCAGCCTGTTTTCCTCTAGTCTACTCTTCACGAGATTTATTTAGGCGTCGAAGTATTATTGAAGCTAATATTTTAGACACTATATTAGTCAAACTGATTCCTCTGTGATTGTCACAAGAGGACTTTTGTCCTTTCTTATAGACTGGCACGATCAGTGATTGAGATCAGTCGGATGGAATTGCGTCCAGTTCCCGAATTCCACCTAACACATCAGTTAATCTCACTGCTAATACTGGACCACCATCCTTAAAATATCTCAAGAGTAAGTCTGTCAAGGCCTGCTGCTCTCCCTCGCTTCAGATTTCCTATAGTTTTTTCAACTTCATAAAGAGTCGGAGGGCCTAAATGAACTTGCCATTCAGGTTGGCTGGAGATCGTGGGACGCCAAAGTGTGGCTGAAGGCCAATTGAAC